TAGCTCTCTGCCTCTTCTTAAGTATAAGAGTAGCTCTCTGGGTGAAAAAGGTTGGAGACATCTGGTGTAAGGCAAGTATTGTTGTGATATTGCCAACATTCTTTTGTGTTGTTTAATAAGGGGAATGCTTTGATTTCAGAAACACACCAGGACTTAACACCAGGAAACTACTACTTTACTCACTCACTGCAATAAGTGCTAAAAACCAGCGCTGGAAAAATACTAAAACATTGAACATTGACATTTCTCCAACTGTGGGACGCATGAAGGTCTCTTATCTTATCTTAAAACTGATTAATTATCAAACCTGGTGTATACAAACAGGAAAACAAAAATACAAAGTCTGCCTGGTTTGAAAGGGGATGAAACTTACGCTTATAAATAACTAAAATGGGGTTTCCAGGAAATCTTTTCACGCCCAAGAACAAATTTTGCTGGACCCTTTCAATTTGAACATCATCAATAAATATGTTCACAGTTTTATCCATTTTTTTCTTTCCAAAAAAAATGTCTTTAGTTTTTTTTAGATTTAATGACAATTTATTTGCACGGAACCAGTTTGTAATTGTTTTTAATTCATTAGTTACTTCTTCCAAAAGTTGCTCCACATTCTCCCCAGACATAATGATATTTGTATAATCTGCGAAGAGTTCACACTTCATGCATTTGGATCGTTTACAAAATTCATTAATGTACAGTAGAAAGAGTGTGGGCCCCAAAGTCGACCCCTGTGGGACCCCTGTGGGACCCCACATGTGACGTACCGGTAACTGGATTTACTTTGGTCAAATTGGACAAAATGCTATATTGCTATTAATATAACTTGATATACAGCTAACAATGCTACCAAATGCTAACAATAACATAAATGTGTACAAATAGAGACATAGAAATAAACACTTAACCACAACTTTATAAAAACAGACCTGAATATGAATGTGAAAAAAACAATTAATATTACTTCAATATCGTTCAGCTCTAGTATAGTATAGTATAGTATAGTATTTCTTCAGTATTTCCCTATGACTTTGGGCAGCTCAGAGTTTTATCCAATCAGAAAGATCTATCCAACAGGTTTTTGTGAAACGGCTTCTCTGCTTTTCTTAATCATAATAAAAACGCATTATAATTTCCCCCACTGTGGAACTAAGAAAGGTTTTAGTTTGCAGTTTTTGTTGTATGAATCTTTTATAATGGAACTATTATGGATTGATTTTTATATATTTTGTATGTTAAAAGAGGTAAACTTCGCACATCTCTTCTCTGACAGGTGCGTAGGAGTGGGCGCGCACTAGGTGGCCAAACATGAAGGAAAGGATGACACCCGCACACTGTCCAACTTGCAAACACCAGTGGTTTATTAGCAACGTTTCAGCCACAGGCCTTCCTCAGGCAAAATTTACAAATAGAGGTTGGGAGCCATCTTAAATAGGGAGGGGCTGACAACGCCCCTGGATGTAATCAACTATACCAGATGACCAAAAAACTTTCACAAAACGTCAAAAACTCAAAAAGTGGAAAACACCAATATATACATATATACATGATGCATGAAGAAAAAACATATGGAAGCAGACATACAGGACAGCTGATAAAGAAATGGCTGTCCTAATACATACATTCCTACATGTATTCTAAAATGTGTAAAGATAGGGCTTATCTTTCGTTCCCTACAGTCCTGTGAATGCATTCGGCCTAAAAGTGGACTTATTTAAATGTTTTAGACAAATTAAATTACGTCATTTTTTCTCTAAATCTGGTCCATCCACTTCACAGCCGACCACACAAACTGTATTTAAAGCCAAAAGTGTTTTTTGTCCTAATACAACGAATGCTTCTATCAATACTTTTTGTAGAATGGTTGAACAGGACATTGAAAAGAGCGTTTATGAATCCCACACACGTACATATTCTAATTTGTCAAAAGACGAGAAAACAGCCCTAAAAGAATTAATGAATGATAAAGATATTGTGATTAAACCAGCGGACAAAGGGGGCGCTATCTGCATCCAAGACGTTAACAAATACAGACAGGAGATTTTATCTCAGCTGTCGGATGCCCATGTCTATAAAAAACTTGAGCATGACCCCACGGTGCCCTTTCAGAAACAACTATTTGCATACCTCCAACAAGCAAAGTCTCAGAAATGGATTACTGAACAAGAATCTGATTTTCTCTACAATAAACATCCCATCTGCCCAGTTATATATTCGCTCCCTAAAATACATAAATCCTTGACCAATCCACCTGGGCGGCCCATTGTAGCACAGAATGACTCATTATGGTCTCCTCTTTCAACTTATGTGGACCACTTTATAAAACCATTAGTCCACAACCTTCCTGCCTATATAAGAGATTCTACAGACTTTCTAGAAAAGTGCTCCGACCTTAAAGATATACCTGTTAATGCCTTATTGCTGACATTGGACATCACTAGCCTCTATACCAACATTCCCCATGAAGGGGGTTTAGAGGCCATAAATTACTATCTACAGCAGAACAGCAGCAGTACAAGGCCTCCTGACCAAATCATCTTGGACTTTACTGAGTTTGTCATGAAATATAACTATTTCCGTTTTGAAAAGACATTCTATCTACAAATATCTGGGACAAGCATGGGCACCATTTGTGCCCCTAACTACGCCAATTTGTTTGTTGGTTTTTTTGAAAATAAATTTGTATTCAACAATGAAAAAAATCCATTTGCTCATAAAATTCTAAAATGGCTCAGATATATTGATGATGTGTTTTGTGTCTTCAATGGTACTTCCCAAGAACTGACGGATTTTGTCAAATTACTTAATAGCTGGATACCAAGTTTGATATTTACTCCACAGTATAGTACTGTACAAGTCAGTTTCTTAGATATGGTAGTGCTTAAATCCAATGGCACCATAATAACATCACTTTACAGGAAGGAGACGGACAGAAACACTTTGATGTTGGCCTCAAGTTTTCATCCTACCCCTCTTAAAAAGAGTTTACCAATCAGTCAATTTTACAGACTCAGACGGATATGTCACTCTGAGGAGGACTTCGTTGAACAGGCCAGAGACATGAAAAACAGGTTCAAACAAAGAGGATATCCCACTACATGGATAGAAAATGCTTATGAACTGGCTTTAAAAAAAACACGAGCAGAATTTTTAAAAAAAACTGTTAAAAAGAAAAAGCAATTTTCTATCACTTGTATCTCCCAGTATTCTCCCCACTCTGCAACCATTAAAACTATGTTCAGAAAACACTGGCACATACTCACATCGGATCCTGAACTGGCCACTATCTTCAAGTTCCCTCCCCTTTTTGTGAACAGGAGGGGCAAGAACCTTAGAGACCACCTTGTCCGGGCCAGTTTCACCACCCTAGCGCCATCCACTCAGACCCTCCTTACGCCGATTCCTAATGGGAACTATCGTTGTGGTGGTTGTGCCCAGTGCAATAACACTCACAAAACCAGTTTTTTTCTACACCCGCACAGTGGTAAGAGTATACCCATCAAAAGCATTATAACATGTGCTTCCACTCATGTCATCTATTTACTGCGTTGTCCTTGTGGTTTGGCCTATGTAGGCAAAACCACAAGAAAATTAAAACAAAGAATAAGTGAACATAAAAGTTCTATCCGCAGGAATGACAGGGAGTATCATGTAGCTGTACATTTTAATGATGCTAATCATGATGTGAGTGCCCTTCGTTTCTATGGGATAGAGCATGTTCCTCTTCCTGTGAGGGGGGGTAACCATGATAAGCTTCTCAAACAGAGAGAGGCTTTTTGGATACACAAACTGCAAACCCTCACACCAAAAGGCCTGAACGATGAGCTTGTCTTGAATGTCTTTTTGTAAATAGACTGCCGTGTGTCACATTGTAAGAATACACATTTTAGAATACATGTAGGAATGTATGTATTAGGACAGCCATTTCTTTATCAGCTGTCCTGTATGTCTGCTTCCATATGTTTTTTCTTCATGCATCATGTATATATGTATATATTGGTGTTTTCCACTTTTTGAGTTTTTGACGTTTTGTGAAAGTTTTTTGGTCATCTGGTATAGTTGATTACATCCAGGGGCGTTGTCAGCCCCTCCCTATTTAAGATGGCTCCCAACCTCTATTTGTAAATTTTGCCTGAGGAAGGCCTGTGGCCGAAACGTTGCTAATAAACCACTGGTGTTTGCAAGTTGGACAGTGTGCGGGTGTCATCCTTTCCTTCATATATTTTGTATGTAAAATATCAGGGGGAGAAAAAAAATCCATTGTGACAAACATTCTGCCTCTTCCTTGAGCTGAACCTGCTAGATTTACTAACATTGTCCAGTCCATCCACGGTGGCTGAGTGAATAGCAGTCAAGCCTCTCAACATGAAGTTCCCGGGTTGGAATCCCGGTCGGAACAGGGTCTTTCCGAGTGGAGTTTGCATGTTCTCCCTGTGTCTGCGTAGGTTTCCTCCGGGTGCTCCGGTTTCCCCTACCACTAAAAACATGCACAATAGGTCTGAATGTAAATGAGAGAGTGAATGGATGGTGTTGGAGCTGATGGTCCAGTGTGTTCTGGACTCGCTTCTGTCATCACTGTGTGTGGAAGGATTGGAACAATATCTGACTCTGAACATTGTAAAGCGCTTTGGGTCTGTGCCTTGGTCTGTAAAATGCGCTATATAAACAAACATTACTTTAAGTCAAATGTTGATATTTAAAGTCACTGTCAAAGCCTGAGCTAGTTCAGGTCAGTGTGTCAAATGGCAGTGGGGGACAAACCCAGCATCAAGGGTGAGAAGTCCTGACACGATCGCAGAGGAAGAGGAGGAGACGGGGGAGGAGAGCTGCAGAATATGTGTGAAGTTTAAACATGAGGTCTGGGTGTTAATAGATTTAGCGGGCACTTGAGTAAAGATGACTGTGTGCACTGACACTAGAATTACAGCCGTCTAAACAGCTGCTCTCCCGTCTGGTACCTCTGTTCTCCAATGAATGACACATTGTTTTTTCCCCTCTCGCAGGTCAACACTTTCCAGGCTGTAATCGGCTACGACGAGACCGACTCCTATGTTGTCTTTCTCTACCCCGGCGATGGCTTGAATTTCTTTGGAACCAGGCCAAAGGTAAGCATTTCAGGAAAGGCATTGTGTGTGCGGTTGCGTTAATAGCCCGATTCTTTTGCATTGCTTTGTTGCGTTTCAAAGGAGTCCTATAACGTGGAGATCGAGCTCCCCGCCAGAGTGGGCTTCAGCAGAGGAGAAGTGGCTTTTTTCCTGTTTACAAGAACGGAGGGGCCGCACTACAGCGTGACAAGTGATGAGCAGAGTGTTAAAAATCTGCACCAGTGAGTAGAAAACTGTAATTAAGTTTGATAGATGTTGCACAGCACACACCCAAAGCCCATCTTATAATTGTCTTCATGGTAATGCATACTGTAGGTTATACATGCTGGAAATAGATAGTATGTATTTCTCATTATACATGCATTAGGGCTGGGTATTTCTGTCGATAGGATACATATCTTGGCACGATTTGTATATAGACACATGGGCCTTACAATTGGATTTGATACAACACATGGTTCTAAACAGTGCAATACAAATCTGTAATGCTTTGCCACATCCCGGCATTATCCATCCATCCATTTTCTACCCCTTAATCCATTTCTGGGTTCTGAGTCCACACAGCACCAGCCCCTATCCCGGCATTATTCATGTTTTTATATATATTTTTTTAGATTAAATTGGATTACATAAAAATATCAATGTATAAAAACATCAATATTTATCAACAATATATGTATTTATATATAAAAAACCACCAGGATTTTATTACTAACTAAAAAATGGCTATTGTATATAATTGTTTAAAAATCAATATATATTTATAAGGATTTGTTCCCAGCCATTGTGTGTTCTGAATTTTCCCAGCTGTGGGACGAATGAAGGATTTCTCAAAAACCTTACTTTTTTCTTGTTTTTTCCATATAGGACCTGCTTTAGTCCTGCAGTGGTCCACCCGTTCAGTTTTTATGTTTAGTAAATTACTGTATGCAAAAAGAATTAGTCATTAGAATTCATCAACATTTCACCTGTTGGCCGGTCAATAGAGTGGCGTTTACTTTTCGGAGGTATTTTTGACAATATGTTTTGACAACTCCATTCACAAATCACCCCGATGATTGACATGGAGAGCCAGGGCCATGACCCCAGCCTGGTGACCCCAGCCTGGTGACCCCAGCCTGGTGACCCCAGCCTGGTGACCCCGCTGGCAGCGCTTCAGTCTACGGTCGAGAGGTGTGAATGTGGATGAATGAGTGTGTGATCGGAGCGCTCCTAGGAGAGGGTAGTTTATGGCTATAGATAGATTCACAAAACTCTAACTTAATTAACATTTAAATCATGTTTCTTTCTCTCCCAAGGGTTGGAAATACTGGAATCCCTGGAATCTGGCTTTTCCACACTGGAAATCGTTACTCTTTTGGCAACATCGTCCCGGCCTCTTTCGGTGGACTTCTGGCCACTCCTCCACCGCAAGGATATGAATTTGGCTTGGTAACCCCCGACCCCTGATCTTATACATTTTTGAGTGTCCAAAAAAGGGCTATATAAGTTGGATGTTTTATTATTATTATTAGTATCATTATTATCATTATTATTATTATTATTATTATTATTATTATTATTATTATTATTATACAAGCTCTTTTTTTCAAGCTCTGATGATGTATTTTGTAGTGGTGGGGGAAAAAATGTATTCTGTTCAGTATTGCAATTTTAAGCACAGGCAATTAAATCGATAGTTTTTAATTCAGTATTTTGTCTCTTGTGTTTGAATAGTTTGAGTTGGAAGCTCCCTGTGTCCTGAATGTTCAAGAATAACATTTTTGCTCTACCCTCTTCAGTTTTTGCCCTTCAGTTAATGTGCAGACGATAATAAATGTGATATTTGATTTGAGCCGTTTTAATTTCCCAAATGTTTGTAATGCCTTTGAATAATATGAGGGACCTGCATCGCAATATATATCGAATTTCAATACTTTATTTTATATATGATCACAATAGAACCGGGCTGTTACATTAGCGAATTGTCACATTTTTGCCCCCCCTAATATTTTCTTGTCTTTCAAAGGACTCTACCACTCCAGAGTACGCAGAGTTTGAGGAATATTCAGACGCCACCTACAGCCCAGATGAAGTCGAGGATGACGAATACCCTCTGACCAATGCGGGTCCGTTTGAGCCAGCAGCAGTGGAGGAAGCCCCATCAGGTCCCGTGGAACCGGCTCTCGCCCGGGTCCCCTTCACAGAGAGCCCCGAGGACTTACCGGTGACGGAGCCCAGCGAGAGGCCTGAGGTGGCCCCCAGGCTGTATGCTCCTCTCCCTCCATCGGAAGACACAAGGAACCAGCATCCTGAACAGCCACAGGTAAAAACAATTCAGTGGAGTTGTCATTATACATTTCTTAATATCAGGTCTCAGCAGAAATTTAAAAAGTATTCTGGGTCTGTGCATCCCGGTGTGACTAGAGTAGAGAAAGGAGACAGGATTTTATGACCTTTTATATATATTTTAAACTATTCCTTTTCTCATCTCGTCCCCAAAGTTTTATTTAAATGTGATTCAGACATGACCATTGCTTTTCCTCCCCATTCGATTCAATTACTTGTTTCTTGTTGTGCATCCACAGACATTTACATTTATATAAGGCCGTTGGGCAAGCCTGAAGCAAGACCGTTTTAATCAATTCAATTTATTTTGTTTTTGTATAGCCCTTAATCACAACAGTAGTTATCTCTGAGGACAGTTCAAACAAGAAATGCATTGATAAAAAACACATAGAGCCATCGGCCCATAGGGGGCAGATGACCAGTGTTCACCTGGACCATCACCACTGTCCTCAGGCTTCTATTGGGAAGAACCAACTCTAAAAACCCAGTGGGAGACATTTATCTTCCTAATATTGTGGGACATTTTGTACCACAACATTCAATTTTGATTTAATTTTGGACAAAGCAACATTTATTACTGTCTCAATCTGTTTTATTTTGTCGTATATGATTAACTACCTTTTTGATTTGACCAAAATACAAAAACCCCCATACTTTCCCCTTTCACGTTTCTTTAATTACACAATCTTTGAAGCAAAATGCATCTGGTAAAAATTGGGAAACTATCTCGCCGATCTCTTTTGTGCTTTCTGAACATGGCCCCTGGGGAACCATGTCTGCTTGTGTGGCAATATGTTTTATATTTACTCCCAAAGATCAGTTACTAAAAGGCGGCGCTTAAATTGGCAGTTCTGTGTCATGGGTTTCATACTTAACGATTTTGAAACTACGTTGTATCCAGAGCAGTTTGTGGTCGAGAAAGATGCATATTTGGGGTCATTGCAGAGCCAAACATGGTGACATCACGGACTATAATGCATATGTGGTTTTCTTGTTGTAAAGTTTAATGTGTATTTTGATTTGACTAACCAAATAAGATGCAATTCCTGCTCGAGATGTATTTCAATGGTCCACACTACTCAATTCAATTTAATTCAATATATGTATGTATAGTGTCTCTGTATAGACTATAAAAAGCTGTCGATTCGCCAGCACGGATCGGAGAATCAAAGAGCTTGTATTTCTCTAAATCACAACAGAAGTCATCTCAGAGACTTTAAAATACCATTGAAATCACCAACACAGATCAGAGAATCAACAGTTAAGACACAGAAAGAATATAGAACATATGTTGATAAATGTCATACATGTAGAATGTTAAAGTGTCCTGGATCAGCACAGTCCTTCTAGTTGGACACTAACTGCCCAACAGACCCTCCTGCATCGGCAAGGAAAAACTCGGGGAGACCCATAGTTTGAGAAATGGATCCGCTCCCAAGGACGGACAGGCTGTAGATCCAGGACCTAAGCTACAGAACGTGGACCAGTGGCCGCTGAACGTGGACAGGTCCGGTGCAGGACTGAAGCACTCCCAGGCGGGTCGGGCGGGGCAGTCCGCAGGTGTAGATGGAGGAGGCCAGGCTCAGAGATCCCGTCATCGTACCATGAAACATTCAATGGGACAACGGGTGTATAGCAATGAACAAACTACAGTCAAAATCCTAATAATGCTAAACAGGTAAAGTAGGAAGGAGGAGAGGATAGTGCTGTTACCATACTTCTCCAGCAGGGGGCTCCCTATGCAGCTTGACTGACACTCTGAGGAGTTTAGCCTTCCCGGTTACCTTCCTAGCCATTTGCTAAACTAAAGAAGACTGTTTTAATTCATTACCATTTGCAGCGTCTAAGGGAGTTCCTTATTTTCTCATGCACTTTGTATTGTAATGATTGACTGCCAATGTGTGTGGCATTACTTCTCTGGTTTCACGTTTCTAAATTACTTTCAGGTCTATAGATTTGACTTGCATTAGTTATTTTTGACCTTAAATAAAACCACAATATTTTGCATGTGCTTTTCTCTATCTCCACCATTATTTCTGGTCTGGAAAGACGACTACAGCTGTGATTTAGGGCTATACAAAAACAAATTGAACTGAATTGAACCATTATGTCCACAGATTGGCCCAACTATATTCTCAATTACATGGATCCAGCATTGGTACTGCATCATCCATGGATATTTCTTTGTGTTTAGGTTCCCCTTGAAGTTATCGACGTCTACCCTCCTCCCCCCAGCAACCCTCACCTCTCCCCGGGTGGGTACGTGGTCAGCGTGGACGAGGACGATGTTGACTTTGACACGGGAGGTAAGAAACCCGGGACACTCTTGGAGTTCATGAAATTCTGATCGCCAGGAGAAGGGGGAAAGTCCTCTTATGCAAAGCTCCCAAACCTCAGCTCTGTCTGCAGCCACCGGCAGCACAATACTGTCGTTGTGAGAGACCGGGACTTCCAGGTGTGTCTAAAATCACCCAAACTCACTCCCACCAACTTCTGAATTTTAAAATGAACACCTTCTCTGTCCTGGTGCTGGTTACATAATAAGGAAAACCACTCAGATAATCTCACGCAATTTGCTTCAACTTTAGAGAGATGAAATGCCAGTCCAAGTTCGAAAGACTGTAGTATTTCCGCAGCGCATGCATCGGTCACTGCAAAAATATCCTGGCTTCCTGTGTTGCTTGTGTATCCCTGAGAATGCGGGTCCCAAGCCGGCTGTCGAATAGACAAATAGTGACTGTGCAATGGGGAAAAATGAGTCAGTGAAAAACTCGCTTAGGAGTTTGGCAAGTTTACTGGGGTTGCTTGAGTGCAGGAAACCTAGGATAGGCCAGTAGTTGAAATTAATTTGACCTAAATGTATTCTCAGTTAGCACTAATTTTGATTGTATATGTTTTGGATAGCCTTAAAACAAGATTTGCCAATGGAACAAGCAAAATAATATTGTTTGAAAAATATACAATGTCTCCCTTGGGATGAAAAAAAATCAACATTCTGGGCTTTGTTCTACAGTATTGGCAAATCTTGTTTTTAGAAAGACAGTCAGAATGTACTTATATTGAGATAAAAAAAACAAAAAAAAAACCACTCGATTATAATTTTTTTGCAGTGTTTACGGGCGTAGAGATTGGTTTGTTGTTGTACCAAGGACAGGCGGCACGGTGGCTGAGTGGATAGCACTTCCGCTTCTCAGCAAGAAGGTCCTGGGTTTGAAGCCTTGTCGGACCAGGGCCTTTCTGAGTGGAGTTTGCATGTTCTCCCCGTGTCTGCGTAGGTTTCCTCCAGGTGCTCCGGTTTCCCCTACCACTAAAAATATGTACAATAGGTCTGGCATGTGCCTCCTGTACTGGCGCCTCCCATCTCTGTGTGGAGTGAGAGACAAATGCCCAAAAAAGAACAATTGTAAAAACGCTTTGAGACTTTGGTCTGGGGAAAGCGGTATATAAATAAACTTACTTAAGGATCATTACGCATCGGAAATACAAATCACCTAATATCTTTTAATTTGGTGTGTCACAGTAATCTGCTTTGACCCTGTTAGCACTACTACTATTTCAAACTACTTTTCCATGATGTTTCTTTTGTATGTCCAGTATCGCACTAACCCGGTGTCGTCCATATAATACACAACTGGACTTCATGAGCAGCTGGTTTCCATCCAAATCTGTTCTCAGGCTTTTGACAGTTTAAGTCTGTGTTTATGTGCTCCTAATCCTTTCACTTGACGCACTTACTCGTCAGCATCTCCATCTATGGTAGCATACATTAACAACAGCAAAAAAAGATTAATGACAGCTCGTATGAAATCTTTCTGCACTTGCCATCCTCAAACTAAATACTTTTTCTTTTTGATTTTGCAGTGATTCAATACACCACTGAGAATAAGGAAACGTGTGCGAGGTAGGTTCGTTCAGATTTAACACATGCTAGAAGGCTGGTTACATTTGGTAAATATTGGTTTCGTTTGGGGTTGACTTTATACTAAATATTTGAAAGGGGGTTGGCTCTGATGAGGTTAAGTTTCTGCCTCCTTTTCTCTCAATGTAAACATCTATATCAGGGATGTCAAACTTATTCTGGTTGAGGGCCGAATAAAAAAAGAAAGGGCTGGTCAGGGGCCAAAAAAAAAAGTGGGTTTCATTTATTATTATTATTTGGAATATGAATCTAAATAAATTACTTGATCACATTAGTTGGATATTCTTTTCTGATTATTGCTCAGTTTCTGTGGACGGAACCAAAACTGGACCAAATATTGAAGGTACAAAGGTAGATTTTTTACTTTTGGGTGGATCATCAAGACTATTGGTCCTCCCAACTGTCAATCATTCTGGTGATACGTGCTCGTCCAATAAGACCACAGAGTTTTGTTCAAAAAGTGGAGAGGGCGGTTCTCTCCTAAAAAAAGTGGAAATCCTGCTTCCTATCTTTAAGAAGAAATATAATTGAAGACTCGTAAAAAACATAACATAATAAACTTTTAATTACATGTTAGCTTAATATTTCTTATGGAATTAAATGTTATGGTTATTTTCTCAGTAATGGATAATGTGCAATTGTCTTTAAAATCATCTCAAGGCCACTGGAAAGGGTCTCGCGGGCCTTGACTTTGACACCCGTGATCAAAGGTTAAAAGTTAGTAAAACATATTAGATTTATTTTGGAAATGTAAGCCTGTTTTTAGCACATAGTAATGGTGAATATTTTTATATCACATCTTTGAGCATCTTCAGTTAGATTTGAATTGTACTTATTTCAATCCCCACAGATTCCAACAGCAGTGTTCCCAGAATGCCGTTTGTTCGGACTATGCCAATGGGTTCTGTTGTCACTGCAAGTCTGGCTTCTTTGGGAATGGCCGCCAGTGTCTTCCTGATGGTACATGTTCTGACACAGTACTCCTTCACCGACTATTTGTATTGTAGTATTTGAGTTAATCTGCAGTATTGTTTCCGTCTGCGCAGGAGCCCCGCAGCGTGTGAGTGGGAAGGTGAGCGGTTCTCTGCTCGTCGGATCCAGCCCCGTCTCCTTGGACCATGTGGACCTCCATGCGTACATTGTTGTGGGCGATGGTAGAGCCTACACCGCCATCAGCAAGGTATCGGTTCTACTACTACTACTACTACTACTGCTACTACTACTACTACTACTACTACTACTACTACTGCTACTACTACTGCTGCAACTGCTACTACTACTACTACTACTACTACTACTACTACTGCTACTACTACTACTACTACTGCTACTAATACTACTACTACTGCTGCAACTACTACTACTACTACTACTACTACTACTACTGCTACTACTACTGCTGCAACTGCTACTACTACTACTACTAATACTACTACTACTGCTGCAACTACTACTACTACTACTACTACTACTACTACTACTATTACTACTACTGCTGCAACTACTACTACTACTACTACTACTACTACTACTACAACTACTACTAATACTTTGTGATGTCCAAAAACACTGCTAAAACGTTAGCATTCCTCCAGTGGATTTTTGGCTCATCCACTTCCATGAATCCTCTCTGCTCTGGTCTGGACCAGTGTAAAACCATGAATCCTCTCTGCTCTGGTCTGGACCAGTGTAAAACCATGAATCCTCTCTGCTCTGGTCTGGACCAGTGTAAAACCATGAATCCTCTCTGCTCTGGTCTGGACCAGTGTAAAACCATGAATCCTCTCTGCTCTGGTTTGGACCAGTGTAAAACCATGAATCCTCTCTGCTCTGGTCTGGACCAGTGTAAAACCATGAATCCTCTCTGCTCTGGTCTGGACCAGTGTAAAACCATGAATCCTCTCTGCTCTGGTCTGGACCAGTGTAAAACCATGAATCCTCTCTGCTCTGGTCTGGACCAGTGTAAAACCATGAATCCTCTCTGCTCTGGTCTGGACCAGTGTAAAACCATGAATCCTCTCTGCTCTGGTCTGGACCAGTGTAAAACCATGAACACTGAACTGCAGCAACATCTCGGGCAGAAAAAAGAAAGAAGAAAAAAACAATTGTAAAACTCAAAACAATAACTGTTTTAGAGCTACTTAGGACTTGCGGCCGTTTCCAGCGCAAAAGTAAACAAACTACTTATACTACTATCAATCATGCTGTGTTTCCACTACTACTTCTACTTCTACTGCTACTGTTTTACTACTATGTTTTACAATGGTGACATAATACAATTACTACTATCTTTACTCGTACAACACAAAAATACTACCCTGGCCTTATTCATCCTTACACTCCGCTCAGTCATCATGTCCTGCATGTAACGTCTGGGTCTGGTTCCTGTGTTAGCGAATGCAATCGGTTGAATTTCAACCGACCAATCAGAGAGCGCGGGAAGGCGGGTGTTGTAGTTAGTTGTGGGTGACGTCAAGAGTTTGCGCCGAATGGGAAGGTTGTAGTTTGGCAATGGCAAAAAATGCGATAGTAAAGTAATCCGGTCTGGTTCTATCAAGAAATTGAAGCCAGAGCAAGAGGAATGTTTAGCAAATGTAATCACTGGAAAAATTGTGGCGCTACTCCCCACGGGCTCCGTTAGCAACAAAGGAGATGGCTAAAGCTAGGCTAAATGCTAACAACAGACTCGGGCACACTGCATACGTCACGGTAAAGTCAGATCCAATGGTTTCAATCTGCAAAAGTTAACCCCTCCCACCTGTTAACTGAGCGCCTCCAGACCTTAGTACGAAATGTAATTTGTACTATGGTGTGGTACGAGCAGGCTACAAAAATACCTTTCCCCTTTTCTGCAGGTGCCCGCTTCAATAGGATGGGCTCTGATGCCGGCTTCGCCCATTGGAGAATTGTTCGGATGGCTTTTTGCTCTTGAACTACCCAACAGTCAGGCCGGATTCAAAATCACAGGTACGCTTTGCAATATTCCCAGGAAAGCACCATCTTCTTTGGATAACTGTATCTACAAATAAAGCCACAGTCAGCCTGCAGAACAAAACTGTTGCTACTTAACCATGTAGGAAGTAGCTTTACGATCCTTTCGAGGACAATCGTAGTTTTTTTACTGTCATGAATCAAGATAAGACAAGACCGGGATGCCAATGTCAATAAGCTCCAGAGCACATCTGTAGTGGACTAAGCAGGGAACTCCTCAACAGGGAATGTGTGTGTTTGAGTGTGTGTATTTGTGTGTTTTGTGTGTCCTTGCACTCTCCCAGCCAGCTGTATTGTCTCCAGGGATGCGATGTGATATCAGGCTTCCACCTCCCCTCTCCTAATAGGAAACAGCTGGTTGTGCATGTGTGCGAGTTTGTGCGTTTGCCCCGTACAGATGTAGCAGACAGTACACTCTTTTTGTGGTGTGCAACTTTGCTTTTGGCCCAGCGCTCCAAAGAGAGAAAAAAAAAAGCACAGAAAATAAACAAAACAGACAACTTCACATGACTTCATCCGCTCTGGTTTCTGATTGGTCCGTTGTTTTTTTACTTTTTGCTCCAGGGGCGGAGTTCACTCGCCATGCTGAGGTCGTCTTCTATCCTGGCAACGAGCGCCTGTCAATCATCCAAACGGGGCGGGGCCTGGATGAGCAGAATCACCTGACCGTGGACACCGTGGTGAATGGCAATGTGCCCGCCATCCCTGTTGGGGCAGAGGTGACCATGGACCCGTTTAAGGAAGTCTACCAGTACTATCCATCTGGTGAGTAACTATGAAAAAAAGATAATCAATTCATGCTAGTATTTATATGGGCACAAGTTTTTACCGTTCTGGCCAATTATATCCTATTGGTAATGTCTTAGTCCTAGTTTAGCCACCATACTGGATTTACATTGACGTAGGTGAGACATAGGGGACATTAACATTGACATTTCAGCTGGGGTGCCTATCTGTTTTGAGTCATAAAACACACATCTGTTACTTATGGGTTTCTTATGGCATACACTTATAAGAAAGTATTTGACACTTTGGGCTGAGAGCGGAGCGTGACTCTCTTGTTCACTTTTCTGTCTGAAAACGCAGATCTACGCAGGAATATTATTACTTAGTGATACTTTTTGTGGTTTGAAAGTTAGCTTTGATACCTGAGATGACAGATGGATAGAGATATTAGACAGATAGAGCGAGAGAGAGAGAGAGCGAGATAGATAGATACTAGTATGAGCATTTTATTAGTACGTATGGTCTTAATCACGCTAACTACATTGTTCCTGTCTGGTCTTTTATCTCCCCACAGTGGTCACCTCCACATCTGTGCGCGAGTTCACGGTGGTGTCTGCAGAGAGAGGCTCCGAGTCGTTCTCCTTTCAGCTCAAGCAGAACATCACTTTCCGCGACTGCCGCCACGACAGCCGCTCGGCTCCAGAGACCCTGCAGATCACCATGGAGAGGGTCTTCATGATGTACGTGAAGGAGGAACGCATCCTGAGATACGCCATCACCAACAAGATCAGCCCAGTGGGAGGTCAGCTTCAAGTCTATACCGCGGTTACCAAATCACTTCAATTTAATTCAATGTATTTAATCGCCAACACAGAGCCATTGGTCCATAAGAGGCAGATGACCGATGTCCAGAAATAATAATAAAATGTGGCAAGGCAAGGCAAGGTTAATTGTATAGCACAGTTTGTACACAAGTCAATACATAATCCCATTACATTAAACATCAAATCAAACATTGTTAGACTAGAAACCTGTCTCATGCTTTCTACTACTACTACTACTACTACTACTACTACTACTACTACTACTACTACTACTACTACTACTACTACTACTACTACTACTACTACTACTACTACTACTACTACTACTACTACTACTACTACTACTACTACTACTACTACTACTACTACCACTACCACGGGGCGGCACGGTGGCTGAGTGGATAGCACTCTCGCCTCTCAGCAAGAAGGTCCTGAGTTCGAATCCTGGCCGGACCAGGGCGTTTCTGGGTGGAGTTTGCATGTTCTCCCCGTGTCTGCGTAGGTTTCCTCCGGGTACTCCGGTTTCCCCTACCACTAAAAATATGTACAATAGTTCTGGCATGTGCCTCCTGTTCGGCGACCCCGCTCCATCTCTGTGTGGAGTGAGAGACAAGTGCCCAAAAAATAACAATTGTAAACCGCTTTGAGACTCTGGTCTGTGAAAGGCGGTATATAAATAAAGATTACTTACTACTACTACTGCTACTACTGCTACTACTACTAGCAACCATTCACTGTTACCCTTGCTACTCCTGGCAGCCTGGTTAGTTACTGGGGAGTCTACATGGGAGAACTCAGAGGGCCAGGGTTAGGGTTAGGGGGCCACGGTGGGACGGCTGAGACTGTAAACTGCTGTGTCCTTCGGCAAGACACTTCACCCTCATTATCTCATATAAATCTGCTCTGTGTGTGTGTACTCGATTAGTGGTGTCCAAAGCCCTATCTGAAGCATTGTTATTACTGTTATTTTACTCTAGCATAAAACCCCTGCAAGTGTTGTATGCTAAAGTTTGCAATAGCCTGTAGCTTTTTAATAACGTTGTTGTTGTTCAGATGGTAAAACGTTGATAGAACATACAGTAATTTGCACTTAATGGCAACTTGACTTTGGTCCAACAGTTTCTCAAACATGCCCTGAGTGAAATGAGCATAAAAACGGCTCTAAAATGGACCATGTGTGTCTCATAAGTGTAGCAGCTCAGATGAAACACCGTGTACAGTAATGTGTAAGTGTTATACATCTGATATTGCATAATGGCCGTGGAGAGAGGCTTGGACACATGTTGGAAACAGAGTGTCTGGGGTCAGTGATGAGGGGGTGATGTCTGCTGTAAACTGCGAGAAGCGTGGAGGATGAGTGACAGTCTGAATTAGCCCAGCTGGTTTGGAAGTGTTGTGAGGTTTGCTGCATCAGAGACCAACAGCCACCAGACCGTTTTGAGTAATTGTTTCAATGCAGCAGATAAATCTCAGCCAAACATTGATGTAGAGTTGGACAGTGCAACACTTCAACTCCAGCTCGTGTGTGTGCTTAACGTCATCTCTATAGGCTTACAACAGTGACAGCAGCAGATAGTTGTGAAAGAATATGTGTTTTGTTTTGTTTGTTGGATGTTGCTCCAAACCACTTGTTGTGCTGTGTGGTTTAATTGCACAAAACCAGGAAATACTTTGGTTTGGCTCAGTTCTGTCCATTTGAAAACTACACAAAGTAAATTGCTGTTTGTGAACTTAAGTGCAATTTGTATTTTACAGTTTTGTGAATGCAATGCACACAGGTAATGTGATCCTATCCTGGTGTTTCTCCTCTGAACGACCGTAGCTATCAGAGCTATATCAGGCTGGAGTCAGATGTGTGATGTTTTCCCTCTATCAGCACCACACTGGTGTCGGACCTCAGAGCTGTGATGAAAACCAGTCTGTGGCCAGTGAGAGATGGCAGCAGAAAAGGCCTGTTTGAACGTCACAGACTCCACTCATGTTTTGAACCTGAGCCAAGTTTCTGTCATTTAAACATCAACACGTTGATTAAAAAGGTTATGATGACACATCTTACACATGATGGTCCACGCACAGATACAACGGAGCACAGCTGGAAGAGCTTTGAGGGATCAGAGGTTTTGTAAACACGGCTTAAGTGCAGTGGATGTGCCATCAGGACAATGTGAGCGTGTGTTTCTGTTCAGGCCTCTTACACTTTCTGGGAATAATATCCTGACCAATGACAGATCTTTACCAGAGGGGGGTCTCTGGGCAGAATGACTGCCCACTGATGTCATGAGAATGAGCTGCAGTGAGCTGAATATCAGACCAAAGGAGTCGTTGAGGAATGCGCCCCAAATTAAGGTCTTAATATATTGGAAAAATACATTTGTAAAATTCATTTAACAATGTGAAAAATTGTTAGTCTCTTTGTCTAAATTCCTTCAGTGGTTTTGTGTTAATTTCAGTTCCATGTAGTTGCCTCATTTAGCCATGCCTCCATGAGTGACCTCAAATGGAGTGTTAAAATGAAACTCTAAGCCAGATTCTAAACCCGTTTCCTCCATAATGTCTTGTCATTTAGTGTCAGTAAAAGTCAAAGATGATGGACCATTAGCAGCTTTCTGGGTGGACATTATAAGGATCAGTCTATACCTTGGCCATAATGACACGGCCTTCAGTAAAGAGCAGCAGGTGGAAAACTGCACTCACCACTTTGATGCTGCCCTCCCTCTGTCTCTCATTACTGCTCAGTCTACTCTCCCGTCGGTGAGCGCAGCCCTCTCATCTGCCCGTCTTCTCAGCCACACTCGGGACGTTGAAAGAGCCTCCCTCGCTTTGATAATGAGCCAAATTTGGTCTCTGGCCCAAGGAGATGGAAGCAAGCTGCGTCTGATTTTGTTTAGGTGTAAGCGTGTGTTGTCTGTGGCGTGGGTTGTTCTCGGTGCTACAGAAAAGACGTGTTTCCTTTGTCAGTGGTTTTGTGGTCCAGACGTCTTAACCCAGAATCAGAATCAGAATCAGAATCATTTTTATTGCCACGTAAGTAACAGGAGGTCACAGACTAGGAAATTGCTTTGGCTCAGTGCAACAGTCAAAAAGAGATAATAAAAATAAGAATAAAAAACACTTCTAAAGAATAAATTTAAATTTAAAATAGAGTTACAGTTACTATTTACAATATACAAGTGCACATGGTGCACACAATGTAAGGTGACAGCAGTACAGTGAAGTAAAGTGACGTATGATGGGCAGTAAAGTGACTTTATAAAGGGCGGGGGGACAGGTTAAGAAGTGTTCAAGAGTCCAACAGCAGAGGGGAAGAAACTGTTCTTGTGGCGGGAGGTTCTAGTCCTGATGGACCGCAGCCTCCTGCCTGAGGGGAGTGGTTGGAATAGTCCATGTGCAGGTGAGAGGGGTCGGCTGTGATACGACCAGCCCGGCCTCGAGCTCGGGCGACGTACAGGTCCTGCAGCGATGGAAGGCTGCGGCCGATCACTTCCTCTGCAGAGCGCACAATGCGCTGTAGTCTCTGTTTGTCCCTAACTGTGGCTCCAGCGAACCACACGGTGACGGAGGAGGTGAGGATGGACTCGATGATGGCCGTGTAGAACTGCACCAACATCTGTGCAGGCAGCTTGGCTTTCCTGAGCTGCCGCAGGAAGTACATCCTCTGCTGGGCCTTCTTGATGAGGGAGCTGATGGTCGGCTCCCACTTGAGGTCCTGGGTGATGGTGGTGCCCAGGAAACGGAAGGACTCCACAGAGGTCCGGCACGGTGGCTGAGTGGATAGCACTCTCGCCTCTCAGCAAGAAGGTCCTTGGTTCGAATCCCGGCCGGACAAGGGCCTTTCTGAGTGGAGTTTGCATGTTCTCCCCGTGTCTGCGTAGGTTTCCTCCGGGTACTCCGGTTTCCCCTACCACTAAAAATATGTCCAATAGGTCTGGCATGCGCCTCCTGTACTGGCGACCCTGCTCCCATCTCTGTGTGGAGTGAGAGGACAAGTGCCCAAAAATAACAATTGTAAACCGCTTTGTGACTCTGGTCTGTGAAAGGCGGTATATAAATAAAGCTTACTTACTACTACTTACTAGGTGATGGGGGAGTCCATCACGGAGGGTGGGGGTGGGGGGACAGTGCTCTTCCTGAAGTCCACAATCATCTCCACTGTCTTCTGGGCGTTCAGCTCCAGGTTGTTACCACTGCACCAGGACACCAGCCGGTCCACCTCCCTCCTGTAGGCGGACTCATCGTTGTTGGAGATGAGTCCAATGAGGGTGGTGTCGTCCGCGAACTTGATCAGCTTCACGGAGTCGTGGCTGGAGGTGCAGTGGTTGGTGTACAGGGAGAAGAGCAGGGGAGAAAGAACACAGCCCTGTGGGGCTCCTGTATTTATAATCCGAGAGTCCGAGACATTCTTCCCCAGACGCACTCGCTGCTTCCTGTCCGTCAGGAAGTCAGTGATCCACCTGCAGGTGGAATCGGGCACGTTGAGCTGGGAGAGCTTGTCCTGGAGCAGGGATGGCAGGATTGTGTTGAAGGCAGAGCTGAAGTCCACGAACAGGACCCTGGCGTAGGTCCCCGGGGAGTCCAGGTGCTGTAGGATGTGGTGGAGGGCCAGGTTAATGGCGTCGTCTACAGATCTGTTGGCTCTGTAGGCGAACTGCAGGGGGTCCAGGAGGGGGGAGGTGAGGGACTTGAGATGGGAGAGAACCAGGCGTTCAAATGACTTCATGACGACAGACGTAAGTGCTACAGGTCTGTAGTCATTGAGTCCTGTGATCCTGGGCTTCTTCGGGACGGGGACAATGATGGAGGATTTGAAGCAGGCCGGGACATGGCAGGACTGCAGAGAGGTGTTGAAAATGTCCGTGAACACAGGAGTAAGCTCACTGGCGCAGTGTCTCAGAGTGGCCGGAGACACGTGGTCCGGGCCAGGAGCTTTGCGGGGGTGCAGCCTCAAGAAGAGTTGTTTAGTCTCTTTAGAGGCTATTGTTAGGCTGGGGGCAGGGCTGATGGGTGGGTCGTTAGAGTAGTGGGGGGTGGGGGAGGTGTCAGGGGCAGCATCAAAGCGACTGAAAAATAAGTTCAGATCGTCAGCTAGCTTGTGGTCGTCAGCACAGGGGGGGGCTTTGGGTTTGTAGTTGGTGATCTCCCGTAGGCCCCTCCAGACAGAAGCAGTATCGTTGTTACCAAACTGCTCCTGTAGTCGTTCTCTGTGCCGGGACTTGGCTGCTTTCAGTTCTTTCCTGAACTGATATTTAGCTGCTTTGTAGCCGCTGCGGTCCCCCTCCCTGAAAGCAGACTCCTTTGCTTTCCTGAGCTGCCGGAGTTCAGCAGTGAACCAGGGTTTGTCGTTGTTATAGATGACCCTGGTCCTTGTTGGAATGATGCTATCCTCACAGAAGTGGATGTATGACGTCACAGTGTCCGTATATTCATCCAAACTATCTGTGGCAGCTCTGAAAAGGTCCCAGTCTGTAGATTCCATGCATGCGTGCAGCTCTTCCACAGCTTCATCAGACCACACTTTGGAGCTCCTCATTGCAGGTTTCGAGAGCTTTAGTCTCTGTCTGTAAGCAGGAACCAGATGTATCATGGAGTGATCTGAGAAGCCGAGGGCTGGCTTGGGAACAGCGCGAAAAGCTCCGCGCACGGTGGTGTAACAGTGATCCAGAGTGTTCTCCTCTCTGGTCGGGCATTTGATAAACTGTCTGTATTTGGGTAATTCCTGGCTCAAGTTTCCCTTATTAAAATCCCCCAGGATAATAATCAGAGAGTCCGGGTATAAACGTTCCATACACAGTACTTGCTCTGCGAGTGCGCGCTGAGCCTCGCGCGCGTCCGCGCATGGCGGTATGTAAACAGAGGCAAGAATGAATGAAACAATTTCGCGCGGGGAGTAATATGGTTTACAATGAATGAAAAGATATTCCAGAGCAGGAGAGCAGTGCTTGGAGATCACTGTCACATCGTTACACCAGTTTGTATTGACGTAGAAACACAGCCCACCGCCTCTGCTCTTCCCTGAGAGCGCACAATGGCGATCCGTGTGGAACAGCCCAAAGCCCTGCAGCTCCAGAGCGCAGTCCGGGATCCGCTCATTTAGCCAGGTCTCAGTGAAGCAGAGGACACAGGATGTGGCGAAGTCCTTGTTTCTTCTCATGAGCAGGCTGAGTTCGTCCATCTTATTGTCCAGTGAGCGTACGTTGGAGAGAAAAATGCCGGGGAGAGCCGTGCTCCTCTCCTCCTAAGACGCACGAGCAGCCTCCGCGCTTTCCCCTTTTACGGGCCCACACTTTTTTGGCAAGAACATGAACTAAATCAGCCGCAGATGCCAAGAAAACAGGCAATAGGTCCATGGGAACGGTGGGTCGGATGTTCATAAGTTCCTCACGGGTGTAGGAACAGCCAGATGCGCAGTTAAAAAGTAAAAACAAAAGAAAAAGAGAGCAGCAAAGAGCCATGTCGACCGTACGAGGCGCCATCTTTGTATCCGTCGTGTCCCAACATGAGGTGAAACTGTCAAATATGAAGTAGCCATCATGCTGTGAGTGTTCTTGAGTTCTTATGACATGGACTATTGAGTCTGCAGAAGTTTAGAGTGCACACTACAACATTACATCAATGTTTGATGATTTAAAGTGACTTACCCCCGAGGGGTTCACCCACATGAACCTCGGGATGAACCTTACATCATTGGCAAATGTTTTGTCCCAATGATATTCACACCAGTGAAATATTACAGGACATACTGTGGAAACTGTGCGTTTACAGATGTGAAGATATATATATATATATATGACATGTCATGTCTTTGGTCTTTTTTGGTTTTTGGTCCTATTTCAAGCTCGATCTCATAGTCCTGGGCTTTGGTTGGATCTTCTGGGTTCTTACTTCTGTGTTTAGAATTCAACTCCTACTCCTGACTTAAAGTAGTTGGTTTTCTTTTAAAGATATTTGTGATAGCTGTGCATTAACTCCTGTAAATGTTGGTCTATGATTCAGCTACAAACTAAATTCCTTTTTGCTACTTAAGCAGCATGATTTTCTTCAGGCTGGAACTCTATAACTTTCTTTATGGTACCCGAATGTCCTTTTGGGTTCTCTGACCACATGTGGCTGGATTTGTGCTACATCACAAAGCAAAAACAATGTCAAATATGTGAGCTTGTGTTAAAATGAATGTTTTTTCTTGGTTTTGAGGCAGTCCTCTTGTAGTGGCTTGAGAATGCATAGACCACATCCTCTCTCCCTCTTGTCTAGTATATATCAGTGCCCCTCTCTTATGCGTATGTGAGTCTAACCCTGTCCATATGGTGAATATTGAGAACGTGGAGGCAGTCACTTCCTCAGAGGAAACCATCCTCTGGGAATTTGTCTGCAGTGATTTTTACATGTGTATTTGGTTAAACTAGCCTCTAATCATTGCATTGTAATCATGGTACTTTTTGAGTCCAATAACCCCTATCACTATTAATCTACGCTCAGACACTCTAGACACCATACATTTGTACCTCTTGTGTGGGTTTACGGCCAGACATGCAGGAAGATTTATTGACACAACTTAGGTCCTTCATGGTTTGCTTTGACTGGATTAAATTATGTAAACCAAAGCGTTTCGAGCTGGGGTCCGATGGTGGTTTATGTTGCTACAAAGTTAAAGCAACATTTAAGTCAAAGATGAGAGTTGAGTTGAACTGTATTTAATTCTGTATGGATGCTATGAATACAGCTTCTTTGTTTGTTTTGTGCACAGTTGAGCCAAGTGGACCGGACGAAGTGAACCCATGCTACTCAGGGACCCACGACTGCGACACCACGGCCCAGTGCGTCCCACAGGAGGGCCAGGATTTTGAGTGCAAGTGTGCTACAGGCTACACAGGAGACGGACGCAACTGCTACGGTAACCTACAGTCTTTACTATTAAAATAAGTCTTATGTGTGTCTCATACACTATTGTAGGGTATTGTATATCCCCCTAATTATATATTATACTGAATGTTGATTTTTTTATTGTGTTGAATGGGTGGGAGGGGGTTGGGAAACTATAAGCATCAGCTAATTCAACCCTTTTTTAAACCTGTATGAATGCAAAGATATGTGAGATTGTACTTCTGGGCTACAGGCTGCTACTGCTACTGCTGCTACTACTACTACTACTACTACTGCTACTACTACTACTACTGCTACTGCTACTACTACTACTACTGCTACTGCTACTACTACTACTACTACTACTGCTACTACTACTGCTACTGCTACTGCTACTGCTACTACTACTACTACTACTACTACTGAGTGATGCCACTGAGCCACTTTTGCCACTACTAGGGCGACAGTGGCTCAGTTGGTAGAGCATTGGCCTTTGAGCCTGAAGGTCATGGGTTCGAACCACCACAAGACTTTCTTCACTGATGTCTGCTGTCGTTGTGTCCTTGGGCAAGACACTTAACTTCTGGGAACAGCAGGTGCCACAGTGGGGCGGCTGTGGCTGTAAAGTGCCAAACTGCTGTTGTGTCCTTAGGCAAGACACTTCACCCACATTAGAATGAGTCTGGTGTGTGTGTGAATGGTTGGTGGTGGTGGGAGGGGCTGATGGCACAGACTGGTTGCCTCGCTTCTGTCAGTGTGCCCCAGGGCAGCTGTGGCTACAGTAGTAGTTTATCACCACCGTGTATGGAGTGAAAGAATAATGACATGTGAAGCGTTTTTGAGTGTCCAAAAAAGTGCTGTATAAAACAGATGCATTTTTATTATTACTTAATTCTTTTAGCCCTGAAATCAAATCTTCAGCCCTAGCATAATGGAGAAGCAAGTACAGTATAGACTGTCCAACTCTTGCATAATGAATAAAGGTATATTTTCTGCAGTAAAATGATACAAATCCACTACTTTCCAGCTAGTAAAAAAGGTAAATGCCAACCACACTAGAATTAAATTGTGGTTTTAAATAATCTAAATGTGTTTTAGTTGAAAAACGCAAAACTAAATGCAATACTACGAACATCAACTATTTGTTCTCAGCGTTGGAGGCACTTGCTGTCCCTGTGACTGGGGCTTTTACGACCCCTCGCTCACATTCACACACACAGTTAGAGACAGTTCAAGGCAGCGTGTCTGTGTTCCATCAGAAGTGTCCATGTTGGGTCAAGTACAGGTCAGGCAGAAGGACTCATCCTCCCTTTGTTACCTACATGTTTTCATCCCGTGGCTCCACTCTCCACTGTGGGCCCTCATCTTCAGTTTTACCAGCCTTTCTCAGGTGGATGGTCTTGTTAGCGCGCACAGGAGGTTTGAGTGGATGGTTGCCCTGTTATTAACTCAACAGACAGTGCTATAAAACCCCAGTTCCCATGGTGGTTCTGTCATACTACATGTGTGTGTTTCAACATGAATGTAATTACTCCTTATAAAACATTAATGCTTCCACAGTTGTGTCTATGGAGAGATGTGTGTCCCTGGTTTGTAAAAATGTCTTGTTCCACAGACATAGACGAGTGTGTGGAGAGTTCCAGCTCTTGCGGCGCACATTCCCAGTGTGTGAACCTCCCCGGCAGCCACCGCTGTCAGTGCCAGAAGGGATATGAGTTTGGCTTTGATGGACGCACGTGTGTGGGTAAGAGCGACTGCCTTTGCAATGTCTCATCTGAAGTACAGTATGCTCTGAGGAAGTCGGCAACACTCAGTGGCATTCACCCTCTGCACTTGATGGTTACCAGTTCATTCAAACGCACCCAGAAACCAAAGGCAAGGCAAGTGTTTTTGTATAGCACAAATCATACACAAGGCAGTAAAGATAAAAGCCTTCAGTACAATACAATACAATTTATTCTTGTATTTCTCTAAATCACAACAGAAGTCATCTCAGAGACTTAACAAAACCATTGAAATCACCAACACAGATCAGAGAATCAACAGTTAACACACAAGAAGAATATAGAACACATGCTGATAAATGTCATACATGTTGTAGAATGTTAAAGTGTCCTGGTTCATCACCACAGTCCTTCTAGTTGGACACTAACTGCCCAACAGACCCTCCTGCATTGGCAAGGAAAAACTCATCAGAAAAACCAGTGGGAAAAAGTGAGAAACCTCAGGAGACCCATGGTTTGAGAAAGGGATCTGCTCTACACGGACAGACAGGCTGTAGATCCAGGACCTAAGCTACAGAACGTGGACCAGCGGCCGTTCAGTTGTATGTCCAGCTAAACAGAACTGTTTTAACCTGGATCTGACAGAGAAAAAGCCTGTCTCACATCTTCAGGAAGACTGCTCCAGATTTTAGCTGCATAATTCTGATAGAATAAAAGAATATCTATATCCTCAAGTAAAACATTATCAATGAATCCACCTTTATGTGTACAGCGTTTGTGATCGGGGCTGGAACACAGAAGGCGTCACAGCCCGATCACAGAAAGTTTAAATAAATACATACATTTAACTTCCCCGTGGCCGGAGTAAAAATCTCACCGTCAAAGATTAAACTTTTATTTTTCTACGTGGTGATTCCCTGGGGTTCATTCAACTTATATTTAATGTATGACTTTAAGGAGGTGGAAAATCAGCCGATGATTCCATGAGAAAGTGACGCCCAAATGAACGATGAACAATTATAATCAAAACAACGCATTTCTACAGTTTATGTTTCGGTCTTGCTCGGTGAAGACCTGAGAGGGCTAAAAACTAGTTCCTAGACCCTAATATAGGATTTTTATTATCAGTCAGTGTGCTTCGAACAATTTCTTCTTTGTCATTCAGGTTTTATAATCGTCTGGAACTTTAAATCAATGCCTTCAGAGCCATAAACGTTCTCATCTATGAAATTCACAGAACAACCTCCGTAGCAAATTCTGCAAATGTGAATCAAATGAATTGCTGAATCACCCGTATAACTTTCAGGGCTTCAATTACAGTTGCATAATGTTGACTGATGAGAGAACAGAGTTTACACAAAGACAATGGAATGTGTGGAGGAGAGAACCGGTGTCCTGCCTTAACCTATCGCTCTCAGCTTCAAGTGAACTCTTTGTCAACTCCTTTGCAAAATCTTTTCACGGCTTTCTGAACATAACAGAGATAGCGTATCACAAGTGTCTTTTGTCTTTCTCTTTCAGACATCGACGAGTGCTTCGCTACGCCGTGCAACCACAACGCCAAGTGCACGAACTCCCTGGGAACCTTCCACTGCCAGTGCCATTCTGGTTATTTCGGAGATGGCTTTTCTTGCACCCAGGATGGTAGGTCTATCGTCTGTAATGGAGGGTCTGTAATTTGTATTGGAAAACAAATAAGGGGTGTTTCTAATAGGTCAGACCGAACGCCCCAAAAGCCATTGTGAGCAGCACAGAGACAACCTCCAGAGCGGACTGGATCAAGGCGTGGGGGCCTTTGTTCCCCAATGTGAAGCTGACGGACGTTATAGACCACTGCAGGTAAGGGCTAGCGGTAGGGAGAAAATGATTCTGTTCAGTATCGCGACATTTTACGCACACTATTTATTTGATACAGTTCAATTCAATTTATTTCTGTATAGCCCTAGTCTAGACCCAATAGACCAGACATGTGCAAACTTTTCCTCCTGAGGGCCACATTGGAAATTAGGTCCGGATCCCGACAGTCATCTGAAATTCCAATGCTTTTCTCAGGCTTCATTTTAAAACATAAATGTATTGTTTATTTGAAAAAAATGGTTCTGCACATAGTACAGAGGGGGATGAATAAATGTTCTTAATCCTAATCTCTCTTGATCTATATAATATGATCTTGAGGAGGGCTCAGGGACCTGATAGAAGCATCCAAAGGGCCGCATCTGGCCCACGGGCCGGGGTTTGCCCACAACTGCTATAGACTCAACAAAACTGTTGATTCGCCAACAAATATCAGCAAATCAAACCGTTCAACTCAATAAATGCATTGAAAACCAAGACATAGAGCCACTGGTCCAAAAGGGGCAGATGACCAACTTTCATAAATGTTAATATATATATTCAAAGACGTCATTGACTGTTCAGTGTCCCGTGTTTCAACTTCTATTGAAAAGGGCTTCATCACGACCGATTCTCCTATTTTTTTAATGCCTTTGAGAAATATAAGAGACATGAATCGCGATACAGTATATTGCCAAATTGAATCACAATATTTTAAGTAAGTAATTAAATAATGTTTATTTATATAGCGCATTTTACAGACCAAGGTACAGACCCAAAGCACTTTCCAATGTTCAGAGTCAGATATTGTTCCAATCCTTCCACACACAGTGATGACAGAAGCAAGTCCAGAACACACTGGACCATCAGCTCCAACACCATCCATTCACTCTCTCATTTACATTCAGACCTAGTGTGCATGTTTTTAGTGGTAGGGGAAACCGGAGCACCCGGAGGAAACCTACGCAGACACGGGGAGAACATGCAAACTTCACTCAGAAAGGCCCTGTTCCGACCGGGATTCGAACCTTAAGATTCACAATAATGTTGTAATGTGGCCCAAATGTCACAATACTATCGAATCACATTTTTGCCCATTCCCAGCCCTATAGTAAAGACAGACATATCAAAACATTGAAAACAACATTTTAAAAAACTGTTTTCATTGTAGTGCCATGGTTCCACTGGACATTGTTGGTGTGTGGACAGCAGAGGACAGGAGAGGCCGGGTACGAGAGCCCCACCTGGGACCTCCCCCACCGACTGCGACAGACCAGGTAGCTTTAACCAACTCATGGCAAGGCAAGGCACATTCAATCTCTGCTATTTCACGTTTTTGATTTCCCAGACAAACCAGTCCGCCACAAAACCCAATGTGAGCACCACAGAGACAGCGTAGAGACCACCAGTCCAGAGGGGTATCCCATACTTGGAGCTCATGGACTGTTTGTGCCTGAGTGTGAAGCAGATGGACAATACAAGTCTCTACAGGTACATCCTATACATTAATATACATTTGCAGAATAACAACGGGAGTAATGTGGGTTTTTGGATGTAATATTGCAGTGCCATGGATCCACTGGACATTGTTGGTGCGTGGACAGTGCAGGACAGGAGCAACCAGGCACTCGCACCACTCCAGGCTCCCCAGCACCAGACTGCAACAACCCAAGTAATCACTATGTCTTAGCACTTCTTGTTCTTGTGCAATGATCAGGTTAAGTTTTGTCTTTAGACCAAATGGTGACGTTTAAAATGCTCTTGTTTAAAGCCGGGGTATTTTACTGTTTTGCTTCATTGTGGTACTTTCACAACAGAAAGAGAATTGTAAAAGTAACATTATAAAAACAAATCAGAACCCAACATGGCGTCTTTATCTTTATCATAATGTAAAAAACATCTGATTTGTTTTGCGTTCTTTTGAGATAGAGCCCTGTGAGTCACCATTCCCCTTTTTGTCCTGAAAACTGAGGGTGAACCTCTCTTTTGCACTTTTCTGTCTGACATAGCTGATCTAAAGATGTGAAAATAAATAATAAAGAGATAGAACCAAACTACACACATACATGAAATACGTGATAGAACAAAACAGTTATAGGAACTAGTGGGATGGATTTTAACCATAGACTGTAAATATTAATGGACGTCACGCCTCTCTCCGCCGTTCTAACAAAGGGCCCAAAATTGGGCTTTCATGGAGTGATTCAAAATGGCCGCGGGGGCTGGAAAATGTGAAAAAACACATCTGTGCATGCGTCAGCTGCACGAGCTCCATTCATTTAAACGAGTGACTTCTAAAGTCCACAGCGACTAAACTAGACTGGTCCAGAACACTCAGCATTGACACACATGTGGAACGGAGCTTTGGGCCAAGAGCCACTTTTGGTCCATCCTGTAAAGACGTTATCGAAAGGTCTGCTAATGCTATATGTTAGCATTGGCTAATTCTTATTCTGGGTCCACCCCCACAGGCCCGGGGTGGGATTGCAGCATGTCAGCGCACGTCATTTTGGCCATTTTTGAGCCAGGACCCGCCCACACTCATTTTAACATGTGGTTTGAAAGTTAAGTATGTTTTTCCCTTATCCACCAGGCCGTGTTAAAACTCGCTGTGAGCACCACAGAGACAGTGTCCAAACCACCAGTCCAGAGGGATATCCCACACTTGGAGCTTATGTACCTCAGTGTGATGCCCAGGGACAATATCTACCACAACAGGTGAGTATATAATAGAATATCTTTCACAATTCCCTGCTTTAGATCTAATGTCCATTTTCATTTCAGTGCCTCGGTTCAACGGGGCACTGCTGGTGTGTGGACATCACTGGACAAGAGAAACCAGGGACTCGGACTCCCCCTGGGGCAGACACTCACAGCTGTAGCCACCATGGTAAGTTTTCAATTAATCATCCATCCGTCCATCCATCCATTTTCTTCCGCTTCATCCGTTGCCGGGTCGCGGGGGCAGCAGTCTAAGCAGAGACGCCCAGACTTCCCTATCCACACACACTTCCTCCCTTCAATTAATCAATATTTCTGAATGTTTTCCATTGTATCTACAAAAGATACAGCGGTGATGATGCAGGACGTTTAACATTCAACAACATGTATGGACTTTATCAACATGGACATTATTATTATCATCGTCATCTGCCCTTTATGGACCAATGGCTCTATGTGTGATTATGGGCTATACAGAAATACATTGAATTGAATATTGTGTATCTTGTAGAAGAACCAACACGCCCCAAAACACACTGCGAACACCGTAGAGACAGTGTCCGGAGCACCAGTCCGGAGGGGTACCCCATACTTGGAGCGTTTGTGCCCGAATGTGACACTTATGGACAGTACACGCCTCAACAGGTAAAAAGTAATTTACCTTGAATACATATACGCGTACATATTGTGTAGTAATACCATCGCCTTATGTTGTTTTTAGTGTCATGGCTCCACGGGGCATTGCTGGTGTGTGGACAGTAATGGACAAGAGAGACCAGGCACTAGGACCCCACCTGGGACCCCCTCTGTAGACTGCACCAGACCAGGTATACCATTGTTGTTTCTCGACTGAAATTACACAGACATCACCTTCTCCTGACCTACAGCTGGGACAGTTTGGCTGTTTTTGTTGCGAGACAGTACCCAAACCAGCAGGTGCATTATGTCACCGCTTTCCAAGGGCTTTTGGAGCTAAACCTTGATCCCTGACCCCTCTAATTCCCGCACTGGATGTCAAGTCAAACTGACAGCACGCTTACCGCCGGTGTGTTTAACCTTGTAAGTGGTGCGCCGCGGAGGTCATTAGGTGATATCCTTGGAATGCCTGTAAAAACGTGTGAGTCCAGCGGGTGGCCAGTGTGAGGGCGAATACTCACAGGTACCGTTTTTTTTACACGGAGGGCTCTTGAACCGCTTCACTGGCCCTAAGTGCACTTCACAAGTATCACTGTCACCGAGATAATAAACAAGCCTCGGAGATGTTTACCCTAGTACATTCATGGGCTCCTATTACTTAAACTGCTCAACAAGTGTTTATTTAACAAAAGTCATGCATGAGTAATGGCATCTGTATTTTTAACCGTTTGATTTACTTACACTTTGTGACGTTTCTTTTCTTTCTACGATCTTTGAATAGTTGTCCCAGAGCGCCAGAAAACTCCATGCGAGTATCATAGAGACAGCGTCCACATCACCAGTCCTCATCCACACCACAGTGTCGGAGATTACGTGCCCCAGTGTGATGCAAACGGAGCCTATCTTTCCCAGCAGGTATTTTCTATCCTCTTTAAATAGTTGCTGTGATGTAATTTGAGTTATTAGAGCGAAAAATATATGTATGTCATGTGTGTAGTGCCATGGATCCAGTGGTCAGTGCTGGTGCGTGGATAGTGCTGGGCAAGAGAAACCAGGGACCAGATCAGCTGCTGGCTCTCCATCGCACAACTGCAGTCATCCTGGTAAAGTTATACAAAAATACAATGTTTTATCCATTACCCATGTCGACCGATGATTAAACTTCTCAGAGACAATTGCATGTTTCCCATGAGCTCCCAGACTTTCTTTCATGCTCTTAAATACTTACCTGAGGGCATTCTCATCATTTCATCTTTGAGACATTTGATCCCAGCCCGAAAAGTAGTCTACAGTACCACAAAAGCAATGCCTACAATGTAATGTCAGATTTTTACTGAATGGACGATTACTAGGTTAACACACAAACTCCCAGAACTCTAAAAATACTACATTCAAATTAATGGAATTCAGAAAAAATCGCCCTAAAAAACAGTTTTAAATGAAAAATGTATTTGTAATTGTTGATACATGCTGAAAGTGGTAAATACAACTGAAGTACGGCTGTGAGTAAACTGTGTGTTGCTATAGTAACCAGCACTTGCTCCAAGCTGAGATTGCTCTGAACCAGTCCAGGACCCGTCTAGGGTCTGGTCTAATTTCATAAACATAATTACATGGGAAAAGTCACAGTTTCGAAGCTCAAAAAAGTACATAAGCAAAATAAATACATTGACAAAGGGAGAAGTCGTCAAATGTTCTGCTTTTGGAGTTCTACAGTTAATGAAACTAATAATAATAAGGATTTTTTTCCATGTCCATTTTTATCTGCTTCTTTGAATTTTCAGGTGATACGGTGAATCCTAAAACTCGATGTGAGCAGCACAGAGACAGTGTCCAGACCACCAGCCCAGAGGGGTACCCCATCATCGGACTCTATGTGCCGCAATGTGACGCCGATGGACAGTATTCTGCTCAACAGGTGATTTCTCTGTTTTCATATAAAGAATTATAATTGTGCATTATTTTTGGTCAATAAAAACAATAATAAAATTACAGTATTTACTTTATCATCTCATGTTTTAGAATGTGACATTGTATCTTATGTCAAAAAGTTCTGTCTGTAACTCTCTTTGCTACCACTAGAGGGAGGAGTTGATTTTTTTTTCTGTGTTTTTCCAATGTTAAAAATCACCGGCTGCAAACACAGCCTTGTGATGTCACAGTGGTACAATGACGTCACACTTTTACAGGACTGAGATGGAGCTTTTAGATAAATGTTTGTGCCAGAAGTGTCTTAGCAGAGATGGAATGTTTAAACAACTCTAGGTTTTCTCAACAAAATTCATTCAAACATCGACAATTAGCTTGAAGTCCACAGCTCATCTTCTATATTTATATTTAGTATAGTATTAGTATAGTAAAAATATTTATGTTTATTCATATTAACAGCCATTTTGGTAAAGAAAATTTAAACAGAGAGAGAGACAGAGACAGACCAGAGAGAAACTAGAGAGAGACCAGAGAGAAACTAGAGAGAGAGAGAGAGACAGAGACAGACCAGAGAGAAACTAGAGAGAGAGACTAGAGCGAGAGAGAGAGAGACCAGAGAGAGACCAGAGAGAGAGACCACCTAAATCACATCCTAGTTCGTCTCAATGATGAATTTAGAAGCACAAATTGGACTTTTGTAATTGAGCTCGATTTACAAAAGATTTAGGTTCAGCAGCTTTTGTTGCCATAAATCATTCATGTATTTCTTTTCAGTGTCATGGTTCCATTGGACACTGCTGGTGCGTGGACCATATGGGGCTGGAGCGACTGGGCTCGAGGACTGGACCTGGGACGCTTTCTGTGGACTGCTCCGAACCAGTGGAACCAGTGGAACCAGTGGAACCAGTGGAACCAGCGCGTCCCAAAAGTCACTGCGAGCACCACAGAGACCGTGTCCAGAGCAGCAGTCCAGAGGGTTACCCTGTGATCGGAGCCTATGTGCCCCAGTGCGACTCCAGCGGGCAGTACATCCCTCTGCAGGTTAGAACCTACTTTTTACAAATGTTTCAGCTTCAAGACCAGACGGAGAGACCAGAGAGAGAGACCAGAGAGAGACCAGAGAGAGAGACCAGAGAGAGACCAGAGAGAGAGACCAGAGAGAGAGACCAGAGAGAGAGCCAGAGAGAGAGACCAGAGAGAGACCAGAGAGAGACCAGAGAGAGCCAGAGAGAGACCAGAGAGAGAGACCAGAGAGACCAGAGAGAGACCAGAGAGAGACCAGAGAGAGAGACCAGAGAGAGAGACCAGAGAGAGAGAGACCAGAGAGAGAGAGACCAGAGAGAGAGAGACCAGAGAGAGAGACCAGAGAGAGAGACCAGAGAGAGAGACCAGAGAGAGAGACCAGAGAGAGAGACCAGAGAGAGAGACCAGAGAGAGAGAGACCAGAGAGAGAGACCAGAGAGAGAGAGAGAGAGACCAGAGAGAGAGACCAGAGAGAGACCAGAGAGAGAGACCAGAGAGAGAGACCAGAGAGAGAGACCAGAGAGAGACCAGAGAGAGAGACCAGAGAGAGACCAGAGAGAGACCAGAGAGAGACCAGAGAGAGAGAGACAGAGAGTGACCAGAGAGAGAGAGAGAAGTCAGAGAGAGACCAGAGAGAGACCAGAGAGACCGAGAGAGAGACCAGAGAGAGAGACCAGAGAGAGAGACCAGAGAGAGAGAGAGAGACCAGAGAGAGAGAGACCAGAGAGAGAGACCAGAGAGAGAGACCAGAGAGAGAGACCAGAGAGAGACCAGAGAGAGACCAGAGAGAGACCAGAGAGAGAGTGACCAGAGAGAGAGAGACAGAGACAGACCAGAGACAGACCAGAGACAGATCAGAGACAGACCAGAGAGAGACATAGATAGACCAGAGAGAGACAGAGAGAGACAGAGAGTGACCAGAGAGAGAGAGACATAGACAGATCAGAGAGAGACCAGAGAGAGACCAGAGAGATTGACCAGAGAGAGACCAGAGAGAGAGACCAGAGAGTGACCAGAGAGAGACCAGAGAGAGAGACCAGAGAGAGACCATAAATCACATCCTAGTTCCTCTCAATTATGAAATTAGAAGCACAAATTGGACTTTTGTAATCGAGCGACATTTACAGTTGCTCAATTACAGAAAATTTTGGTTCAGCAGCTCTAGTTAAATAATCAATGTTTGTCCTTTCAGTGCCATGGTTCCACTGGACACTGCTGGTGTGTGGACAGTACTGGACAGGAAAGAGCCGGCACCAGGACCTCACCTGGTTCACCACCTGTAGACTGTGACAGACCAGGTATCGATTCAAATAAAGTCAATTCAATTTAAAATCCCAACTGTAGCTATCTCGGAGGACTTCACAAGCTGTTGATTCGCCAACACAGATCAGAGAATCAAACATTTCAAACACAAGAAAGAAAAATGATTAAAAATATCCATAGTGTCCTTGATCCATAATGGGCAAATGACCAATGTCCATAAATATCATTGAATATTGTGTGACAGCTAAGTATATAAGTCCAATCAATGACTAACGACTGATAAAGATATACAGTATGTGTTATAGATTAGACTTGATTATAATTGATTTTATTTAATTTCTGTTTCTTTCCAGTGGAACCTTCCCGCCCCGTCACTCGCTGTGAGCACCACAGAGACAGTGTCCAGACCGCGACACCAGAAGAACATCCCGGGGTCGGAGCCTATGTCCCGCAGTGTGACCAGAGTGGACAGTACTCATCTCAGCAGGTAACATTGAATTTTAATGTATTTAAATGAAATGAAACTGGGTTGACAGTGACTCAGTTGGTCTTCGGGCCTCCCCCCCCACACACACACAAACACACACACACACAAGACATACTACATCTGCCTCCACTGAAGTCTGCTGTTGTTGTGTCCGTGGGCAAGGCACTTATACCCACTTTGCCTGGAGCCCCCGCTGAAAGACCAATGCTATGTTGTCGCTTACGGTGCAAAGAGTCCCCTGTGAACCCACCACCTGCTGGAGGATCTGTGAGGGGGTGAAACTTTACAACACAATGCATAATCACACACATCAATCAGAATCAGATTGTTTCATTGTGACCAGGGTTAGTACAAATAGAAAAAGGCTTGCATTAAAAAAAAATATATTTCTTAAAATTACCACTATATGCACTAAGTGATAAGAATCCGGTTCCATTGAGAAAGAACCATATATGAGGTATTATATTTAAATACTAAGGTTGTTACTGTCCATTTCAGTGCCATGGTTCCACTGGACACTGCTGGTGCGTGGACAGCACTGGACAGGAGAGACCAGGCACCAGGAGCGCACCAGGAACACAACGAGTGGACTGTGACCGACCAGGTGAGACAAAAAGTGCACTTAATAATAACAAACAAGAATTGTACTTTATATATTCTTTTCGTATGATGTGATTTCAGCTGAACCTTCCCGCCCTAAGACTCAGTGTGAGCACCACAGAGACAGTGTCCAGACCACGACACCAGAAGGACAGCCCGTGTCAGGAGCCTATGTCCCACAGTGTGACCAGAGTGGACAGTACTCATCTCAGCAGGTAACTGGAATATTTACTTTATTGAAAGGGAGGGTTTGCACTTGGTCCAATTGAAGTGAAGTTGTCTTTTTTCAAGGAGACGAGGATACATTTTTCTGTATTTGTTTTGGTTTTATGGTTTTGTGACCACGTTTTAATGTCACGTTTAAATACTTAAGTAAACACATTCTGTCCATTTCAGTGCCATGGTTCCTCTGGGCACTGCTGGTGCGTGGACAGCACAGGACAGGAGAGACCAGGCACCAGGAGCGCACCAGGAACACAGCAGGTGGACTGTGACCGACCAGGTGAAGGAGAGGATTTCTATGTATTGTATTTGTTTGTTTTTTACGTGTGTTAATGTCTGTGAGTAAAACTTCTTCCTGTAGTCATCTAGGAACAAATGGTTTACAGCTATAGAGGGATAGATTGGTTGGTTAGTAGCAGTAGCGGCGCCAGGTTTGCAGTTATGGTTAGGCCTGCAGATTAGTAAGTAGGCCTAATTTGCTCGCAAACTACGAGAGGTAGTTGGAATTGGGAGTTCAAAGAATATGGTTCAAACGCACGCACCCACACGCATGCACACACAAACATTCAGTGTGTCACACAGACACACACACACACACACACACACACACACACACACACACACAGTGTGTCACACACACAGACACACACACACACACACAGACACACACACAGGCCTTACCTCGTTAGTGCGAGACGAGCCTGGCCTGACTGCGCTCTCCTCTTCTGTGACCTACGGGGCCGGGCCTCTGGCTCCTCTACCTCACGAAGTTCACGCTGAACTTTCTTAAAACTAAAATTAAGAAGGCTACTCTGTCGTGAATGTTTTGAGAGCATTATCCATCTTTAATGCTGCGTTCAGACCAAATGCTTTTCGAGCGTCAAAATCGCATTCCAACAATGCTTGTGACAGATTCTGACAGACGCTGTCACTGAGCGTTCTGAAGGCGCATGACGCGCGTTCAGAACATGAGAAGGAAGAGAGTGTTTTGACGAGGAATAGCTGGTTGTTCTTAGGGAGCAGTTAGCTAACGAGTTTCGGGCATGGGTTTCGCGCTGTTATATTATATATATATATATATACAATATATTTCAAGCAACGTAGGAACGTGATGACGCTCAGAGGGTTACATTTTCCATAAACATTAGAACGCAACATTTAGGCGATAATTTGTGTATAATAATAACAATATTTAAATTATGACTTGAGAGGCGAAGAACAAATTTGAGTAGGCCAAGAAAAAAACTGGTAGGCACCGGCCTACCCAGGCCTATCCCTGGCGCCGCGGCTGGTTGGTAGATATATTTGCAGATGGATGTGTATTTTGTAGTTTGTTTGTTTTTTTAACAATAATCTGTAATCATGATTCCAGTGAAACCTTCTCGCCCCATCACTCGCTGTGAGCACCACAGAGACAGTGTCCAGACCACGACACCAGAAGGACGTCCCGCATTAGGAGCCTATGTCCCGCAGTGTGACCAGAATGGACAATACTCATCTCAGCAGGTAACTGGAATATTTGAATTAAGTTACACACTCTCAGCTCCGCGCCAATGCAGATCACACTATATATGTGAGACCACACTCAATAAAGTGGTCGAATACAGGCGCACCCACTGAGAAAGAGCCGTATATCTGTTAAAAGTTATCACTGTCTGTCCATTTCAGTGCCATGGTTCCACTGGACACTGCTGGTGTGTGGACAGCACCGGACAAGAGAGACCAGGCACCAGGAGCGCACCAGGAACATATCGAGTGGACTGTGATCGACCAGGTGAGAAAAATAAATGTCGGACTATGTGTTATTATCATTACCTGTTAAAACTGTTAACGTCATCGGAACAGGGCCTTTCTGAGTGGAGTTTGCATGTTCTCCACGTGTCTGCGTAGGTTTCCTCCTGGTGCTCCGGTTTCCCCTACCACTAAAAACATGCACAATAGGTCTGAATGTAAATGAGAGAGTGAATGGATGGTGTTGGAGCTGATGGTCCAGTGTGTTCTGGACTCGCTTCTGTCATCACCGTGTGTGGAAGGATTGGAACAATATCTGACTCTGAACATTTTAAAGCGCTTTGGGTCTGACCTTGGTCTGTAAGATGCACTATATAAATAAACATTACTTACTTATGTCTTTCTAGAGGCACCAACGCGACCTAAGACTCAGTGTGAGCACCACAGAGACAGTGTCCAGACCAGTACACCAGATGGACGTCCTTTGTTAGGAGCCTATGTCCCACAGTGTGACGAGAGTGGACAGTACACAATACAACAGGTAACAGCATTCAATTCAATGTATTCTTCTATAGCCCTAAATCACAACAATAGTAATCTGTTGAATTTGCCAACACAGATCAGAGAATCAAACAGTTCAAACACAAGAAATGCAACGAAAAAAAAACACATAGAGCCATTGGTCCATAAGGGGCAGAAGATTGATAAATGTCTGTAAATGTTGGTCAATGTTGATGTTAAAAACGGACAGAGGAGCTGTAGATCCAGGACTGAGGCCGAAGAACAAGAACCAAGGCCATGACATGAAAACACCCCAGAATCTGAACTTTCTGTATGTAATTTTTCCCCCTCTTTAGTGCCATGGTTCTTCGGGAGACTGCTGGTGTGTGGATAGTACAGGACAGGAGCGACCAGGCACCAGGAGACCAGCGGGGACCCAGCAAGTGGACTGCTCCAAACCCGATCAGCCTCAGCGTCTCAAAACCTACTGCGAACATCACAGAGACAGTGTCCAGACCTCCAGTACAGAGGGGTACCCCACACTCGGAGCCTACGTGCCCCAGTGTGACGCTGAAGGACAGTACATACCTCAACAAGTGAGACTACTCACATTACACCTAATTTACAAAGTTTTTTAGCGTTTCAATTGTTTTTCCCTTTAAAAAAATGTCCCACTTATCCACAAATCTAAGTTTTCTACAAGCTTGCCGCCTCGAGTTGATCTTTTAAAGCTAAGGGACCTAATGAAGAAGATGACATAGTCTGGGATCGCGTCTTAAATTCAGACAGAAGACATGTTTTATTGTCGATGGTAGAGACAGCACGAACAACACGAACACAGATACAATAGAATGCAAGTGTATTATACAGAGCGGAGGCATGGAGACCTCCAATCAGCAGCTTCCACGGTGCCATGTAGCTTGGCCTTCAGATAGACAAAACATGAAGTGGAAAAGTACTGGCTTCTGCACATTGATAGAATGATGAGTTTAACTTTAACAAAAGTTGCTTAAAAGTGTTATGAAATCTCACACTAACTTTAGAGCCACAAACAATTGTACTTATGTAATCAAAAGACATGAGACTAGATCATGGTTGGAAAATGCTTGTATTTACATTTTTTTGGCTTCTGTCATGTCTGTAGATCAGCTTTTTCTGACAGAAAAGTGAAAATTACAGCACCACCAGCCTCACTCAGCTATCAGCCCAAAGTGTAGAACAATGACCCACATTCATTATTCTTATCATTATAGACAGCTTTTCATATTTCTGTTTTATTGTTGTTTTGTTGTGAAGCTTTACGTAATAGAAAAAACACGATCAAAAAACACATAGAGCCATTGGTCCAAACGGGGCAGATGACCAGAGAATGTGCTTAAATCCATAAATCTAAGGCTTTTTTTGCAACTTTAAATTCATGAATCATCTCCAGACTACTGCTGCTGTTTCTGAAGTATTTACGTTGTGTATCTCAGTGCCACGGCTCCAATGGAGACTGTTGGTGCGTGGACAGTACAGGACAGGAGAGACCGGGGTCGAGGACGGGACCTGGAGTGGCGCCTAAAGACTGCAGCAAACCTGGTACGACTTTATCCACTGTGTGACTGTGTCCTCGCTGACCTTTCAGTTCAAATATACAAGTCTGTTTGCATCGCTGTAATCAAAACGACGTGTGTTCCCCGCAGACGAACCAGCGCGTCCCAAAACCCACTGCGAGCACCACCGAGACAGCGTGCAGTCCCAGGCAGAGGGACGTCCCGTGGTTGGCGCCTATGTTCCGCAGTGTGACACCAATGGGCGATACGTCTCTAAACAGGTATGTCCACAATGTACAGAGGTATGCAAAGGTTTCTCTCCATTTTTGTGATTTTCCTTCAGAAATCATTAGTTGTTGGGAAAAAAAAAAGTTAAATATATGTAAAAGATGGAGAAATGTTATGGCAATGGCAATTAACTAGAATTTATAGGAACAAATTGGAAAAAAACTGGATGTTCTCAAAATTGAATATCGGCTCTTCAGAGGTAGCCCGGTCGTACCACACCATAGTATACATTACATTTCATACTAAGGTCTGGATTTGCTCCATTGACTCCGTTAACAGGTGGGAGGGGTTAACTCCTTTTGCAGATTGAAACCATTGGATCTGAGTTTACTGTGACGTATGTAGTGAGCCCGAGTGAGTTGTTAGCATTTAGCCTAGCTTTAGCCATCTCCTTTGCCGCTAACGGAGCCCGTGGGGAGTAGCGCCACAATTTTTTCCAGCGATTACATTTGCTAAACATTCCTCTTGCTCCTGCTTCAGTTTCTTGATAGAACCAGTCCGGATTACTTTACTATCGCATTTTTCACCATTGCCAAACTACAACCTTCCCGTTCGACGCAAACTCTTGACGTCACCCACATCTAACTACAACACCCGCCTCCCGCGCTCTCTGATTGGATCGAAATTCAACCGATTGTAATCGCTACCACAGGGACCAGACCCAGACGTTACAGTGAAATGATGATTGAGCGGAGTGTAGGATGGATAAGGCCAGGGTAGATCAGAGGGAACTTACTGACATATAGTTGAGGAAAGTATATACTTGCATAACAGCTGTCAGTTCAATCCATGAGTGTTGAAATGAATAAATCTTGTTCTACTTACAAATAATCACCAGAATGAATCATGGTTGCAGCAGGTGAGATATAATAATGTTTGGACGACTTCATACATCTCGCTCTTCTATGTTTCAGTGTCATGTTTCAACTGGGCATTGCTGGTGCGTGGACATTAATGGTCGGGAAAGAGCAGGCACCAGAACTCCTCCAGGAACTCCGCGTGTAGACTGTTATAGACCAGGTAAATGTATCAGAATACAGGCTTGAACATGGATTGCTTTAAGAGGAGAAAATATGTAATATAATCTATGTTTCTAGTTCCGCGCTCTCAAAGCAGTTTGGTTCTGTTTTCACAGCAAAAAATATGAAAAATAAGTCATAAATTGCGCAGATTTCGCAAAATGTACTGTATCTTAATTCGAGCACACTTTGACTGCCTCAAATCACAATTTGCCAGGAATGAGAAAATAATGCAACAGTTCTTGAAATTAGAATAAAATGTTGGCAAATGTTGTTTTAAGACAGTCAGAATGTACTCGGAATAAGAAAAAAAAAAAAATCAATTCAAGCCATTGTTATTTTATCATTTTTTGTAGTGGAAGCTTTTTCAGTGAGAAAAGAGAGAGGACTTATTTTATGCAAAGTTTACTAGTAAAGTTTAAAGAAGCATGTTGTAAAAGTGACACTCGTTAGGTACCCAGCTTTAAACCTAAAGTTAGTTCCTTATATGGGCACCATGCTCACTGCTAATTTACACAGGAGGCGTTACAGCACGTACGCGTTAAATACGCAGCAGACACGCTTAACTGTTTTCCAAGTTAACCAATGAGGATATTTACACTAGTGTCTAAACATCAGCAGGAGGAGCAGCAGGTTTTACAGTGATTCTGGACATCGTTTTTTTTTTCTTTCATAAAGTCTGGCGTCTGGCCAAACCAGCGCACAGAGACCATGAAGACAAACACATGTGATTTGTGTTTCTCTACATCAGTCTCTGTAGTGTCCTCTACACTGCTCCATAGACCACACAGGGACAGCATCAGATGCACGGCCAGTGGAGATACAGCCAAGTAATGTTACGTGCACGTGGCTCAGTCAACGTACTGTACATGCGCCGCTAACGCCCACTGTGTAGATACCCTGTTAGGACTCTTTCCTTTCAAACATTCATAATCTTTTACAATATTATGTTTACATTGCCTCCATCAGAGTTTTTTGTCTGTTTGCATTAGCAGCAATGGAAAATTCATTATAATCCCTTGAGGAAGCATGTGTATGAAACTTGAATTAAGAGGATTAACTTTTATGAGATTTGCTCAAATATAGTCGTGACTTTGAAGTGCCTTTCCCACCCGGCTGTTGCGCGGCCTCCTCTTTACGCTCTAACCCGGCCTGTAAATCGCGTTTATGATCGGCCACAACATCTAAAGAGGTCATTCCGTCGCCTGGTAACCCGCCTCCAACACAACACACAGGAGTATTATTTGTGCACAGCTGAGAGAGGGAGCCCGCCATCGCACATGCCGCGCAGACATAAACAGGACACGCTGATCCAGGTCTGTCCACCTACAGACTGCCAGGGCTTTGATTATTCTAGACCTGGTTTGATTTCATTCAACTCTGCCGTTTCGGGCCCTTAATCTAAAAACCACGACCGCACACTCCTGTTCTGGACCAGGGAGAGAGCCTTTGATGAGCTCTGCATGTTAGCTTTAGGAGGAAGCTCGCAAATGTACGGGCTATTTGAAATGTACACAGGGAATGGGAGGGAGAAACCGCACACAGCAGGGACATGTCAGTGTTGCATGACCGGTTTTAGAACAGTCAAAATGAGGAGCACACAGCACAAGATAAATGAACAATAACTCTAAATTTAAATAAAACTTTCATAAAGAAGTATAAAACGTCTAACATTAACATCATAAAGAGGCAAGAATAAAATCTCTAAGTTTAGCATAATGTTTTTCTTCACTTATATTTTTACTGAATTGTCCCCGTTGTGTGACTAAGGAAACATTCATTTATTTGTTCATTTTCATGTTGATTTTCATGTCGATGTTTTATTGGAAAATCTTGTTTTAAGACAGTCAGAATTAATGAAGATTAAAAAAAATAAATAAATACATATACTGTATTACCACATATTTCTTGCTGTGTATCTTTTGCAAACACACAGCCCTGGTGAGGAACTATTTAACACTTTGGGTGAGAGTAGATTGGCTGAGTGAGGGAGTGCCATGACAGTAAGTAAGTAATGATTATTTATATAGTGCATTTTACAGACCAAGGTACAGACCCAAAGCGCTTTACAAAGTTCAGAGTCAGATATTGTTCCAATCCTTCCACACACGGTGATGACAGAAGCGAGTCCAGAACACACTGGACCATCAGCTCCAACACCATCATTCACTCTCTCATTTACATTCAGACCTATTGTGCATGTTTTTAGTGGTAGGGGAAACCGGAGCACCCGGAGGAAACCTACGCAAACACGGGGAGAACATGCAAACTCCACTCAGAAAGGCCCTGTTCCGACCGGGATTCGAACCCAGGACCTTCTTGCTGAGAGGCGAGAATGCTAGAGGCCAAGCCAAACCTAATATCTACTAATAGTCATTGAATCAAACTGTTTATTTCATCGTTGATTTTGTGTGGTTTGAAAAAGTTCAATTCCTCAGCTTTAAGTTAAATACCTTAAAGAGTAAAAAAGAATGAGTTTGATACGTTTTGCTTCCAGTGCCGGCGGTGCCCACCCGGCGTCCAGAGAGCGTGTGCGAGCGCTGGAGAGCCAGTCTGATCGAACATTACGGAGGGAAGCCGGAGCCACAACAATACTTACCTCAGTGTGAACCAGACGGACAGTTCAGGTACAACACAAACCTCCGCTGATTATGCATAAATAAAACTAAATCATGTACATTAAGATGTTAGTGCTAATTAGTGCCTGATCCATAGACTGAAGACTTTCTCTGACTCTAAGCCACATGTGTCAAAGTCAAGGCCCGCGGGCCAAATCCGGGCCGCGAATGAATTATCTATGGCCCCCGGGACATTGCCTGCCATTGAGGCAATGTATTATCCCCTTAAGCTCGCTAGCCCCCGCCGGCGGGAGCAAACGAGGAAAAAATACATCTGCTGGCAATAGCAGATGTATTTTGAACTTCATAAGCCACAAGCTATATATCATTTTAAAGCTTATTTTCTCAGCTATATTTATATGTAAGTGTAAACGATATCAGACTTTGCATTAAAAAGATATAACGCATAATATGGGCACAAAATAAATCACGTCTGTATTTGTTTTTTACATTTCGTCTTCTGCTGCTCCAACAAATTAGACGTTCCCCATCCTTGCTTAGTCTCTTTCTCTCCGTAACTGTTCATTGAAGAAGAATATCCACTTGTATTTCCCAAAGTATAATCCATTCTGCAGATTTAATCAAAAAACGCCCCGAAAAGAGGTCCAGACAGCTCTTTTACATTTCACCAAGTTTGAGCTTTTTTTTTTTTTACTATTTTCATGTTCTCAGATGTCTATTACATCTAATATGTACAGTATGAGGATTGGCTTTGGAGCATATTTTATCGAGCCAGCAGGTGTCACCGGCACTGCCTCTGGATGTTGAGAAACATTGAACCAGTCCGACCCTCGGCGCGTAGCAAACATTTTTTTTTTGGTATTTGACTTTGACATGCCTGCTCTAAGCCCTATTACGACTGTGACGATAACTCACAGATGAATACAGATCAGAGGAACGGTTCCAACACAAGAAATGCAATGATAAAAAACATATAGGTCCATAAGTGGCAGAGACCAATGTCCATAAATGTGGATAAATGTTGTTAAATGTCAAGTGTCACCAACGATAATAACACAAAACTTCAAATTCAAGTGTTCAATAATATTCATCATGTTTTACTTGTACTTTTTTATGTTTAATAATTCTAAGTTGTATAGATAGACTGTTCCATAGATACACTTCTTTGATTAATAGACACTTCCTGTTTGTTTTAAATAACAATAAATATCAAAATAATTAGATTTTGTGTTACTTCTGTTTGTCAGCCCTGTCCAGTGTTATGGAGAGACAACCTATTGCTGGTGTGTGGACCAGGACGGGCGAGAAGTTCCCGGGACCAGATCGCACGATGTTGTCAAACCGGCCTGTAAGTAACTCATGATAGAAGAAGACAGTGCTTCTCAAAATGTGGTACCTGCACTTCTTTCATTGTTGTGTAAGCTGAGATCTCTTAGAAAAGCCCATTGGTCTAAACCAGGGTTCATATAAGAGTCATGGAAGTCCTGGAATAGTCCTGGAATAATTGACTAATGTTTTCAGACAATTTGAAAGTTTTGGAATTTTTGTGGTTTTAAAAAGCTTTGGGAATTCAGAAGATATTTTAAATACATGAACAAATGTCTATATAATTATATAAAACACTGTGATGAGATATATTTGTAAGCCTCATTGAACTTGTTGCAAATATATATAAAACACTGTGATGAGATATATTTGTAAGCCTCATTGAACTTGTTGCAAAGACTAGCCACATTTGAAACTAAATATAAAAGATAATGTGATTTAATCTTATGTTTTTAAGTCAGAAAAAGATTGTCTGACGAATGGCAAAAATGGATTGGAACTAATTTAAGATCATGGAGAAGCTAGTTGAAATCTGGCAGACCTTGTAGCATTTACCACCATTTCTTCTCATTCTTGTTCAGGCCTTCCCTCTGTGGCCCCTCCCACCGTGCGTCCGCTGCCCAGGCCCAACGTGACCCCCCCACCGGACGCAGAGGTCACCCTGCTTTACGCCCAGGGCCAGAAGATCGGAGCGCTGCCTTTGGACGGGACCAAACTGGACGGAAACCGCTCCAAGACACTGCTAACCTTACACGTAGGACTCGGAGACACACTGTGCATCTTGGTGCATTCGGTCCTCTCACTGTATGTTAAACGTGCGTGTGTGTGTGTGTGTGTGTGTGTGTGTTTGTTTGTCTGTGATTCAGGGCTCTATTGTCGTGGGTATCGCATATGACTGCAAAGAAAACCACGTTTATTGGACAGATCTGTCTGCGCGGACCATCAACAGGGCGTCCATGGTTCCTGGAGCTGAACCCGAGATCCTCATCAGCTCGAGTAAGTCGTTCTGTCTTCACTACTTTACTTTACTTCTACAGCGAGATCATTCAAATAGGTGAAGAGTTGTATAAATGGTGAGAACATCAGAATAGATAATGATATTATTTTGACGTTTTACTTTAGAATCACAATATTCATCTAATGATACAATAAACGGAACTAGTTTGCTTACCACATTTTATTTTTGTTTAGAATAATGTGGGAAAAAAGGCTACTAGGACCATAAGGGTTAGGGTTATGAACACATTTTTTTATTAAAGCTGGGCTACCTTATTCTGAAAACTTGTCAGAATAATTCTTTTGAGTCACTCTTTGACACTTGAGGGTGAGAGTGCTCCTCTTTTGTCACTTCTCTCTTTGTAAAAGCTAAAAATAAAACTATTGTGATGACAACCATGAGTGGTTCGCCTGGTCGTACCACACCATAGTACACATTTTATTTCGTACTAAGGTCTAGACGTGCTCCATTGACTCCGTTAACAGGTGGGAGGGGTTAACTCCTTTTGCAGATTTAAACCATTGGATCTGAGTTTACCGTGACGTATGTAGTGAGCCCGAGTGAGTCGTTAGCATTTAGCATTTAGCCTAGCTTTAGCCATCTCCTTTGCCGCTAACGGAGCCCGTGTGGAGTAGCGCCACAATTTTTTCTAGCGATTACATTTGCTAAACATTCCTCTTGCTCTGGCTTCAGTTTCTTGATAGAACCAGACCGGATTACTTTACTATCACATTTTTCGCCAAACTACAACCTTCCCGTTCGACGCAAACTTTTGACCTCACCCACATCTACCCACTAAGCAAGCCGACGTTGAATCAACGTAATTTGAACGTCGTTGTCCGACGTAGAATAGAGGTCACTGGTGGGTGCAGAATGAAAGTTTTCTCGACGTCGTTTCCCGACGTCACTTCAACCTCCAAATGTTACGTTGATGGCACGTCAATTCAAGGTTTGAATGTGGTACGGAACCGGTCGGGTCTGACGTCCTATCAACGTCTCATATGACCAAAATATTGACGTTTATATGACGTTCGTTTTCAGTCGTTCCCACTAAGCAAGCAGATGTCAAAACTATGTCATTTCAACGTCATCTGGACGTTCATTCAAGGTTGCAATGTGGTACAGAACCGGTCGGGTCCGACGTCCTATCAACGTCTTATATGACCAAAATATTGCCTTCATATGACGTTCGTTTTCCGTTGTTCCCACTAAGCAAGCAGATGTCAATACAACGTAATTTCAACGTCATCTGGACGTTATCTGGACGTTCAAATGACGTCGCGGCCACTTCATTCAAGGTTGCAATGTGGTACAGAACCGGTCGGGTCCGACGTCCTCTCGACGTCTTATATGACCAAAATATTGACGTTTATATGACGTCCATTTACAGTCCTATTGACCTCTGCAGAATCACTCACTGGTCGAGACATACTTTTTGCAATAGGCAAGGCAAGTTTATTTGTATAGCACAGTCAAAACAAAAGGAAACTCAAAGCACTGAACAAAAGATAGAAACAATCAAACAAGGCATTACAATTATAAATATTGACTGTAAATTAAAAAGAAACAAATAAAATCTCTCATAAAATCTCTCAGTTGAAGCAGAAACAGAAGTGTTTTAAACCTGGATTTTAACATTGTCAAAGAAGAAGCCTGTCTCACATTTCCAGGAAGACCGTTCCAGATTTTAGCCTTGTGAATCTGAAATGCAGCTTTATCATGTTTAGTTCTGACTCTGGGCAATAAACTATAAACACAGCATTCAAAAATCATTAGAACAACTGTAGTAGAAGGATATCAGTCATTATTGCAAATGGAGCTGCATTAAAAATCATGTTTCTCTACATCAAAGTACAAGTTAAACCACACAGGGCACAGTGTTATGAACACTACTAAACTGAACAGTTCATGCCAAAGTAAAAAAACATGATTGTAGCGCCTATGTTTGGATCAGTATTAAAACAGGCACAAGCTACACTCTAGGTTCCCCAGATGTAAAAACACAATCTGAAAGGCAGAAGAATGCATTTATTGAATGTTGAGGTTCCAACATGTGTCCTCTCTTGGTCTTCAGTCTCATAAGGTCCAAGCACAGCACCTGAAAATGTGGAACATGTTTAGTTTCAACATAATGTGGCAAAGTGATATAACAACACATAACTTTCTATTAATGCCTCAAACCACTCGATCCATCACCATGTGATACAAACCTTGGCACTGCACTAGCTCGAGACACTGGAAGACACTCCGTCTGAGAAACTTGGGATAAGGCTTTGGTCATTGGAGTAATTCCATGTAAAAAACAATTGCAAATGTGCATTTGTTTTGCACATGGACAAATGAGCCCTGAAAGCTACTTACCCTGTATTACTCTACACATGTTGCATTTCCGAGGGGGCATTTTCCCCTTGTTGCTCTTTTCCCTCATCTTGAGTGAGTTGCTGAACAATCTGAGAAAAAGATAGATGTTTTCAAAGAGAATACACCAAATAATGGTTTATTCTAAAAACAACATATTAATACAGAACAACAATCAATGTGTGAGAGTCTTACCTCTGAACACCTTCAACACAGTCTGACACCTGTAAGACTCAAACACACATGACACATTAGGAATACACATAGAACATTAGTTATTGCAACAATCATGAAATTATACTCTATGGATTTCACAATAATTGACTGCATTAGCAAAGGTAAATGTATTTTAATTAACATATGGCTGGTTTTAAAGTTTATAAGAAAAAGTAAGAAATTGAATAGAGTTGCAAGCGCTAGTTATCTTGCTACCAGCAGATGAATGGATATTTAATATTTGCAGCTAACAATAACAAAAATAACAACTGTAGTGGCTCATTTAAACAGCCACAGTGAGAAGAAGTGAAAGTCTCTGACATTGAAGACCTGGGAAGACATTAAATCAATTTATTAAACAAAGCAATACATGAACATTAAACTCTCTTTCTGCAGCAGGTAACATCTGTGTGCTCCTATGGTCCCACATGGTCCCACATGGTCCCACACCTGAACTCAACTCCAACGGATGACATCACTGGTGTCTAAATGATGGGAGTGTCCCAAATAGTAAAGCTGATCTCCCTGTTTTTAAACTTAGTTTACTAAGTACTGTTGTCTTTTTGCAGTTTATAAACCATTGTGAAATATACAGTAACTTTACATTTTAGAATTGAATTATTATTTTAAAACTCAAGAATCTTAACCTTTTTTAACATATACTTTGTTGGACAGTCTAACCTAAGAATTCTAATGTGTTAAAAATAGTTTGAAATATGAAAAACAATATCCTATTTTAAACTTTAACTTAAAAACTAAAAAAAGGTTTCTCCCTTTCAGCTGAGCAGTGCCAGCCGTTATTATTATAGATTCATGTACTGGCAATTCAAAATACAGATAATATACATCCATCCATCCATCCATTTTCTACCCTTTAATCCATTTCTAGGTCAGGTCAGGTCAGGCAATCAGAGATGCCACCCAAGTCTCATAGCACCAGCCCCTCACTGACCCTCTGCAGGTGGTGAGTCCACAGGAGGACGGCTGCTCTCTGAGTGTGAGCATAGCCTTGATCTTTCAGTGGGGGCTTTTGGGCAAAGTGGGGTTAAGTGTCTTGCCCAAGGACACAACGACAGCAGTCATCAGTGGGAGTCGGTGGAGAAGGTGTAGAGGTGGGAATTGAACCCACGACCTTCAGGCCTGAAGGCCAATGCTCTACCAACTGATATACAAAATATACTTAACAAAATCCACGTATACGTGAGAAAACAACTTACTTTCTGTCTCCAACTCTTTTCAATGTGGAAATGATACATCTATATCTAAAAACTGTGCAGACTGTGTACTTACTAGAGAGGATGATTCCAAGTAAATAAAGCAGGGCAGTGACAGAGGTACAGATTCAACGTCATATCAACGTGTGGGAAGGCATTGCTTTACGTCCAGATGCACACCTTACGTCGTTTAGACGTGGAAAACAGGTCGACGACCGAGCGACTCACGTGTCAGGCTGTAAAGTTATAAGTTATACTCGCGTGGCGCATAAGTGTGCGTCGGTTGTTTAGGGTGTTATCTATTATTTTTTCACAGTAGTCAGAAAAAATGCCTGGCCGTGGTGTAGCGGTTGCGTAATGAGACTTCAGTCGCAACGACGCAGGTTCAAATCCCTGCCGGAAAACTTTTGACTTTTCACTTTTTAGCGAACAATTTTTCTGTTTGGTTAAAAACGAATAAACACTCAACATAAGATTATGTAGTGGCTAATAATAAAACTTGTGAACCCATGCATTTGCATAAAATCTCAAGTGCTCACCCCTTATTTGCAAACTTGAGATTGTTAGCACAACAAATGCATACATTCACAAGTTTTATTATTAGCCACTACGTAATCCTATGTTGAGTGTTTATTAGTCTTTAACCAAACAGGAAAAAATTGTTCGTTAAAAATCAAAACAAATATATAAAGATAATAATACACACACATGGGCTCGAACCCACGTAACCAAGACTGCACACGTTTGCTTAACCACTACACTACCGTCAGGTTCACTAATATTGCTTAACAGCCTATATATTGTATTGCTAGATCAAGACGTACTGCGTCGGTCGGCCGATGACCTGTTTTCGACGTCTAGGGGAGGTCGGGATTGAACGTCATATCCACGTATATGGGAGGTCATTGTTTTACGTCCAGATGCGCACCTTGCACAGACGTCGTTTGGACGTAAATAAAAGGTCACGACCGACCGACGCGATATTGACGTGATCTGGAGGTTGAGTGGACGTCGGATGTTTAGTGGGTAGGCAAGGCAAGGCAAGGCAAGTTTATTTATATAGCACAATTCATACACAAAGCAATTCAAAGTGCTGAACAAAATAAGAAAGCATTAAAATCATAAATAATCACAGAACATTAAAAAGAAAGATAAAAATATAAAATCCCTCAGTTGTATGCACAGCTAAACAGAACTGTCTTTAACCTGGTTTTAAACATTGTCAGCGACTAACTACAACACCCGCCTTCCACGCTCGCTGATTGGTCGAAATTCAACCGATTGTAATCGCAAACCCAGGGACCAGACCCAGACGTTACATGCAGTGAAATGATGATTGAGCGGAGTGTACGAATGGATAATTCCAGGCTAATGAGTGGCCATACCTGCCTGTGAAAGCCTGGTCCCGTCAGATTACTGATTGAATGAATGATTGTGGCTCAGACTTGGTGAGTCCGGAGGGTTTGGCTGTGGACTCCCAGCGCCGAAGGATGTTCTGGGTGGACTCGTCTCCGGATCTCATCGAGACCTCGAACCTGGACGGCAGCGGACGTAGGACCCTCTTTGACAAAAACCTGGTCAACCCCCGAGCCATCATCGTGGTCCCATCCACCGGGTAAAGACTTTCCCCACATCTGCTCTGCCTTTTCTGCTCCATTTCACTTGTTTACATTTCACTAACACGTTTTTCCCAGCTCTTTCTTGGCAGCGAAGCATATAAAAACAAAATTCGGCCAATTATGTATAAATGATTTAAGGATTTCAGCCAGGGAAGAGAGCCATATGCCTTACTGTATGTAGACCACAGCTGTTTTTACCTTTTTAGATTTACAACCCGTATAAGCCATTTCTTAAGTTTATGTTGAGTCTGGTGTCTGCACTCGTCACTATAAATATGTCCGTATCATCATAAAACGTGGAAAATATGTGTTTGAGGATCACGAAATCCTTTTGTTGACACTGTGTTTACAACTTACTCACAGTGCTCCTACTCTCGGAAACTCAATACAGACTTTATTAGCTCTATTAATCTGACCACAGACAAACAAGTCTCCATGACGACGTATATTAATGCACTGGAGACTGAGCTTTACTATTTGCTTTTGCTGCATTTTAATCTTAACCAATTTCAATCTTAGGGTAATAAATAAAAATGGTTGTTTGTGCAGGACTTCCATCTGCTTTCTATCAACGCCCGAGTACATACGTAGTTGAAATGATTAATAATCTGCGATAACATGATTAACAAACTCTCTGAAGTATAGTCGGCCTTATTGCTCTGACAGTGTGCCGTTGATTTTCTGTCAGAAAGCCAGCGTTGTGTGTTTTTTGTGTTTTTGAGAGAAAGCCAAGCCCTAAAGGTAATTAGAGCTTTACACGACTCACAATGAACTGTTTGATACCACAGCGTCTGCAGCGGCGAGTCTCAATCAGAGGTTCACCCGCCTCAGCCACGCACAGAGTATGTTTAACTCTAGGAAACTAGTCAGTAAAAGTAAGCGATCCAAACATGTGATTTTTATACAAATGTGTCACTGGTTGCAGCTTCACACACAACATCAGTGCTCTCTACTCTCTCTGCTCTCTCTGCTCTCTTTGCTCTCTCTTCTCTCTCTGCTCTCTCTACTCTCTCTACTCTCTTTTCTCTCTTTTCTCTCTCTTCTCTCTTTGCTCTCTCTACTCTCTCTTCTCTCTCTGCTCTCTCTGCTCTCTCTACTCTCTTTGCTCTCTCTTCTCTCTCTGCTCTCTCTACTCTCTCTGCTCTCTTTGCTCTCTCTACTCTCTCTTCTCTCTCTGCTCTCTCTACTCTCTCTTCTCTCTCTGCTCTCTCTACTCTCTCTTCTCTCTTTGCTCTCTCTACTCTCTCTTCTCTCTTTGCTCTCTCTACTCTCTCTTCTCTCTCTGCTCTCTCTGCTCTCGCTCTCTGCTCTCTCCTCTCTCTCTCCTCTCGCTGTGTGCTCTCTGCTCGTGTTGGTCCGGCGCTCTCTCAGTCCCACAGACAGTTGATTGTCCATGTGCAGTTCATTACCTGGCGTTCCCACAGGACCCTCCATATGCTCCCCATCCTCAGCACATGAAACACATGGTCCGGCCCACACGCACTCTCCAGCCTCCAGCTCCGGCAATTTACGCTCCCTCCGAAAGTCCGGGAACTCAAAAACATGAAATGCATCTGCCTGACACCTTTCGTAATGCACAGGGATGAGATAGTATTGGAAGGGGGAGAGGAGAGGGGAGAGAGGGAGTCAGAGGTCACATGATGTCAGAGGTAAACTGACCTTGACCTCATCAGTAGACACAGCTGGTCCCAGGCTCGAGAACACGTATGCGGTCACATGTGGAAGTTTGTGGTTTTATTCTTGTCTTTTTATATTAGGGAGAGCAGGGATCGCGCTCCGCAGTCGCCTAGAGTCAAACTGCACACGACTATGCAGAAAACACATTTCTATGTTCGTTCATTCATGTATTTGTGAAAGGATTTCTTCTATGAACTCTTCTAGTGGATTCTCCAGTCCCTCCAACGTCAAAGTCCCAGAGTATGGCATTAAGTGTACCTCCATGGAAGTAGTAGGCCCATATATCACAAAGGATATGATTTACAGTATGCCCCTTTAAAACATACCTGCTCCATGCTGGCACCAAAACTATGCACTGTTTGTATCTACTATATTTAGCAAATAAATATACCCATAGCATCAATTCAATGTATTGTTGTATAGCCCTAAATCACAACAGTAGTCATTTCGGAGGACTTTACAAAACTGTTGAATTTGCCAACACACAAAAAAAACCCACATAGAGCCATTGGTCCATACGGTGCAGATGACCAATGTCCATAAATGTCCTTGAATGTTGAGTGTCCTGGATCATCAGCGCTGTCCTTAGACCCTTGGTGCTGTATTCTTAATGCCACCTCTTGTACTGACCATTACACCGGCTCACCTTGTCTCCAGAACCTTGTACTGGACGGACTGGAACCGCGAGGCTCCTAAGATCGAGGCGGCTTCAGTGGACGGAGAGAACCGCCGGGTGGTGGTCTCTGAGGGGATCGGCCTGCCCAATGCCCTCACATACGACTCCTCCGCGGGGCTGATCTGCTGGGCTGACGCAGGTACGCAACACGCATGGATACTTATTGCGGATCATTTAAATACTGTTACTTTAAGAGCGCAAAAAATGACCAAACATGAAGTAATAATTGCCTGAATCGAGTGGTTTTTGTCTCAATTTGAGTACATGCTGACTCCCCGAAAACAAGATCGACCAATGACAAGATCTTCTCATTCCTAGAGAGACATTTATTGTATCTTTTAAACACAAGATCATTTTGCTTTGACCCATTAGTATAGCTTGTTTTAAGGCAGTCAGAATGTGCTCACATTAAGACACATTTTGCCAAATTTGAGCAATTTTCACAAATGTTATGTAGATTTTTGTGTGCATGCCTTTGCAAATTCCTAGTTTGTAACTTCCTCTTACTCAGAATGGCAAGACAAATAATTCTGATTCTTATTCAATGTTTAATTTGAGGCCTAAGTATTCTTCTAATACTGTGCGTTCAGGAACTAAGCGTCTGGAGTGCATTCGTTCCGACGGATCCGGCCGAAAAGTGATCCATCCCAACCTCAACTACCCCTTCAGCATGGTCTACTACAGGCAACACTTTTATTTCTCGGACTGGAGGAGGTTAGTATATTTTTTCTACTAATATTTCCATCAATTACTGCTTGTCCTTGATTAATGAAAGCGTGTATTTGCTGTTGAAAGGGATGGCGTGATCACTGTGAGCAAAGAGACCAATAAACTGACGGACGAATATTTACCGGAGCAGCGTTCTCATCTGTACGGAATTGCCATCGCCTCGACCCAGTGTTTATCAGGTAATTCACGGGCATGTTGGGGTTTCTGAAGCAGAGGAAAGCACAGTTGAGTCATCAGGTCTGACTCTCAATCCTTCACTAACAGTGCGTAAGTGTATTAGCTCTGCAGGGTGTGTGTCGGAGGCTTGCTGCCCTCTGTTGGTCAGCATGAGCACTGCACCCTAAGTTACACTCATTATGAAGGATATCATCCAGGTCTGACTGTGTTCCATGCTGGCTTTATCTGAGTGTTCATTAAAAAGGTCTGTATTAGCATTTAGAAATAATTTGGAAACTTTAAGCTGCTAATCCACCTCTGGCCAGAATAAGAGGCTTAGTGCTGGTTTCTCAAAACACAAAAGTGGAAGAACAAAATGTATATCGGCCTTTATAAAAAACTTAATTCAAACAATGTTGATATTCTGGATGTCCCATTGTCTGGCATTAAATACACTTTGGTAGAGTGGTGAAATAGCTTTTCTTACTTTTAGTAGTTGAAGCTGAGATTATCACCTTTCAATGCACAGTTTTATGTATACAAATCATCTCAAACTTAGGCCTGTGGGCCAAATCCAGCCCCCAAGACCTTTTACGTGGCCCCTGAAATGACTTTCAATCATCTTCATCGCAGTCACGTGCAGCATTGATGCTAAGGGGCTCCTATGGCATGTTATACCTTAGTTTAAAGTCTATTGTCTCAGGAAAATAACCATTTCACTGCATCTGTTCTAAAATAGTATAGTTTTATCGATCAGTCAGGCCCCAAACCCTTCCTCAGTTTATATAAATGTATAAAGTGGTTTTGGAGCTGCAGTAGAGTGGTTTTTATCTTAATCTTAGTGAATTCTGACTGTCTTTAAAAAATCTTTTGTCATTCCATTGGAGACATTTCTTGTCTATTTTAAAACAAGAAGATTTTTCTTTGTCCCATCGGCAAATAGTGTTTTAAAGCAGTAGAAATGTGCTGAAATTAAGATAAAGCAGAGATAGAGCAAATTTTGACTTATTTTTCATCACTTTTTGCAGTGATAATATTTGTTATAACCCAAAAAGTCAAATAGTGACTCATCGGGCTCTGTTTTACAAGTCTGTATAGATCTACTCAAGATGAAAATATCACCATTTGTTCACAACACTTTACTTTCTGTTGGGACAAACGACATGGATTATATATTTTTTCAATCTTTTTATTGAAGTTAGACAGTAATGGACACACAGAAAAATTACAAAGTTCTTGTAACTTTTATTTTTTTATTTTTTTTTATAAACCAAAAAGACCCATTACAGTCACACATTGAAACAAACATGGATTTTGTACTAACTAATACAGTCTAAACAGTCATGGGTCCTATACAAAGTAAATTTTAAAAAAAATTAAAAAATGAAGCAAATAGATTTAAAAATATATATAAATAAAAACAATAAAAAATAAAAAATAATAATAAAAAAAAAAAATAAAGGAGAGGGGGAGGGGTCAATCCACAGGCAATGTTTGCAATGATTTACAGTTTCTCAAAAAGGGACCCCATTTGCGTTCTAAATTTTTTTCTTTGTATCCTCTTGTTCTGAGATTAATCTTTTCCAATTTAAGGAACGACAGAACATCCCGAAACCACTGGGATATCACAGGTGCTATTGAAGATTCCCATAGTAGTGAAATTTAACACCAAATATTCAAAAATCAATGAAGGGCTTTAGAAAGGATCTCCGAGTACATCAGTTAGCAACCCTCAGCTAACTGACCATAACATTTTACATTTACAACAATAATATGAAGTTTTGTGTTGATGAAAGACTAGACAATGCTATAATAACTTTGTAATCTCCAGTTATTTTGAACAAGCCCAGTTGTTATCTGAGCTCTGCGTTTCGTCGCCTGTGAACAGCTGGGCCTCTGCGGGATCCAGCTTTAGCCGTGTCTCATCCCGCCGCTTCTCCTCAAAGTACAATAATTAACCCACTGTCCTCGCCGCACACAAAATGACACGGCTCTTCTCCGCTCGGACTTTCTTTCTGATGTTTGGATGTTTGGAGGAGCGCAGATGTCCTTCCACTCGGCTGCTTTTATCTATAAACACAGGATGATCCTCAACTAGCACTTGTTTGTCTAGAAGGGACCCTGCCAAAAGTGATCAAAAATATGTCAAAAAGGTGTCACAATTGAGCACATTTTGACTTCGTTAAAATAAGGTTTTCCAATGGGACGGGCAGGATTTATTCGAACAATTAGTACCTCATATTTTATTTATCATTGATCCTGTTCTTATAACTGTTTTTTGACATTATGAAAGTCTTTTGACAGGCCACTACTTATTTTAGAGGCCCGATTTTGCCCCCGAGTCTGAGTGTGACATGCCTGGTCTGGTCTAAAGCGATATCATGAAGAATATTTGTTTTAGTTTCATATTTAGTGGCAGCTTTCATGTGTGTGGTGCAAAGTTGGATTGAAATCGTTGCATGGATATTGTTACATACCTGGAAGTGAAGTAACCGCCTCCAGACTTCAAAGTTGTCGTTCTGTGTCTAATTCTGGTCTTGATGACAGGTCTGGGACTGTGTCAGAGGCTTCTTTTTGTACGAGTGATTTTTTTTCAGTGATGCAATTTTGAGTAGGGTTTAAAAAGCTGCTACTTTAACAACTGTTCTTAAATCTAGGGTAGTGCATTATCAAACTGTGAAAGTGGATATTGACTCAGAAGCTAAGCAGTGCGAGGCCTGGTAAGTACTGTGAGGGAATATAAGGTAGTAATTGCTTGAATCAAGTGGTTTTTATCTTAATTTGAGCACATCCTGTTCAAACAAGATGTCAATGGGGCAAATTCATTTATATCTTCTGTCTAAGGGCAGATTTCATGAATATTTAAAAAAAAAAAGATCATTTCACTTGGCCTTTTGGTGAAATGTGCCCAATTTAAGATACATTTGGCCAAATTTGAGCAATCTTTACTTTATTTTTCATCACTTTTTGCAGTGAATGGAAATATCAGGGGCCACAGTGGCTGAGGCTGTCAACTGTTGTGTCCTTAGGCAAGACACTTCACCCACATGAGTCTGATGGATACTTTATTGATCCCCGTAGGAGAAATTCAGGTGTCCAGTAGCAGCAAAAATAAAATGTATCATTCTAAAAACATAATAATAGTAATAATCCGCAACAGCCTCGGGTCACAGCTGCAGAGGTGGAGTAGCCTCTGGGTGGAGCAGGACGGGTCACAGCAGCAGAGGTGGAGTAGCCTCTGGGTGGAGCAGGACGGGTCGCAGCAGCACAGGTGGAGTAGCCTCTGGGTGGAGCAGGACGGGTCGCAGCAGCAGAGGTGGAGTAGCCTCTGGGTGGAGCAGGACGGGTCGCAGCAGCAGAGGTGGAGTAGCCTCTGGGTGGAGCAGGACGGGTCGCAGCAGCAGAGGTGGAGTAGCCTCTGGGTGGAGCAGGACGGGTCGCAGCAGCAGAGGTGGAGTAGCCTCTGGGTGGAGCAGGACGGGTCACAGCAGCAGAGGTGGAGTAGCCTCTGGGTGGAGCAGGACGGTGGTGTTCGGACAGGCACTGAGGCATTTCAACATCAGGATAGCACAAGGGTTAAATAATCAAACGTATTCATGATATTTATTTATTGACGTGTCTGAAGTTTTTCTCCAGAATCCACCTCATGAATCCTGCTGAAGTGAAAAGTGCATCTCTAATCCCCCGGTCTTGTCTTGCCCCGCAGGGATCCACTAACGCTGGCTTAGGCGTGGCTCTTGGTGCTACAGTGGGGCCTCCAGGAGGGGGCAGCTCAGGACACTTTGTTGGGAGTGAGGAGCCGTTTTACACAACCCTCTGAATCTGAATCCACCGTCCTTACTCTCGTCTTGAAGATATATCGCCCAATACGTTTTGTACATTTGTTTTATACCTCAATTTGTAGCTTTTTTTTTACTGTATTTTTGTACTTGAGTTTAGTTTTTATACCATTTACAGAAAGGCTTTTACTTGTGTGTTTTTACAGTGTCCCAGTATGATGCAGTTCTATTGTCAGAACACAGCCCTACAATCGTTTCGTTGTCGTCGTTCGTGCACTGCTTTGTATAATTTGACACATTTTGAAGTGTTGTTTGCCAAATTCAATACTAAATATGTTCAACATTTGTCCAGATCTAACGTTTTTATAAGACGTAGTATTTATAACAATAAAAATGTGATTTGGTAATTCATGTTGAAGTTGTAAATATGTTTTATATAATCAAATACTAATACATACTCATAAGTGCTTTGTGAAAGGGAACTCTCAGGACACTGCTTTAGGCAGTGATCGGTGCTCATGTCTCTGATAAAAATGATGAAAAACTTTTGGTTAAATGATCTTGATTTGGGCACATTTTGACAGCCGCACAAGATTTGCCAATATCTCCCTTGGAATGGGAAAAATAATTTGGAGAATCTAGTGGTCTCAGATCAAGACCACTCGATTCTAGCAACGATAATCTCATTTGATCATGTTTTTGCAGTGTAACTACAATGTCCAGCTCATTGAATTAAGACTGTTTTAACGAAGGTACTTTTTTATTTACATGGAAATATTAACATACTTCCAAATGGAGTCCACCCATTTCATTTCCATTAATCAAATCAAAAGGAAATATAAAAAAATCATACGTTCATTATCTATACATTTTTTGTATGATCTTGGATGAGAAGAACTGACACTGGAGTAAAAGCCAGAGAGTAGTGTCTAAATGCATGGTTTTTAGAGCTGCAGCTTCAAAAGGGCTGTAGCAAACACAAATTAGACTCAATTCACAGGAAGTGATGAGGAACACAGATACTTAAAGAACTAGTGCCAGTATTTACACCTGCTCTGATCCGCTACAACTCCAACACTGGATCAAGTCATAACATTCATTGGAAACAAATTCTCCTAACTTGAACACATATTGATCTCAGAACACGATTCGCCAATGGAACAAGCAAAATGTACTTGTTTTAAAAAGATACAAGAAACGTCTCCCTTGAAATGAGAAAATAACGCAACAGGTCTTGAAATGAGCTTTCTCCCATTGGCCAATCTGGTTTTAAGTCAGTCAAACTATTCAAGCCATTATTACCACATATGTCAACACTTTTTGCAGTGAACATCCAAACTCAAAAAAACAAAAGGCTCCACAAAATCAGAACTTCCTCTTCCCGGTTCGTTGGCTCCGGACGCCGCAGTTCTCATCGGCCCACTTTGCCGAGCCGGTGGTCTGTCTTGGGGTCGGCGATGATGGCCTGAACTGCGACGATGGCTTCGTTGATCTTTGTCTGCAGCTCCCTCAGCTCCTCGATGTGCAGCAAGCGCAGGATCTGAGCCGCCTCGTTCAGTGTCGCGTCTGACAGAGAAAGAAAAGGATGTGAAGCAGGGCACTCCAGCTCACGCCGACGCACACTACAGAGCAGAACCTGAACGCTCACCTCCTGTGTCGAAGCCCAGGACGTGTTTGTCCAGCGCCACAGGAACGCCCTGAAGACAAACGCTCATTTAAATGATCCAACGCTCTGATCAAAAGTTCAAGCAGATATTTACCTCTTTACTTTGACTTGCTTTAGCTATAGCCTCTGGGGAAAGTCTATCTTGAATCAAAATGCGAATAGCCTGAAACAAAAGTACATGATGAACGTTGTGTTTTCCAAAGAAGCTGAGATGACAGACCCTCTTACCTTGAGCATCACCAAATAGTCATCATGCCGCTGGATCTTGAGGATGTTAGCGAGCGCGGTGACTCCAGCCTTGAAGTCTGGAGAGTCGCCTGATATGCCACCAACGCAGAGAGAGTAAGAGTATTGTTAAATAGCGCTGAAGCAAATGGCTACGACTCCAGCAGCTGCGCTCACTCACAGTCGAGGTTGACCAAGGGGTCGGCCGGTTTGTTGCTGTTGCTGTTGGATGCCAGCGGCTGAACGTTCTTGTACTTCTCCACTGAAGAGAAACACAGATGTAAGGTCAGGACCTTCAGGCATTAGGCTTAAATCCAGTGTAAAACTGCAGCAGGAGGTCATGAGAATGGAAACGGTACTTATTCTGCATTTCAGAGGAGACCCAAGTGAATTTCGTAGAAGGGTCTACCATGTTCTGTGTTGCACTCATATTTTAGGTCATTAATCAAATCAATTTGAAACGGGCTTAAACAGAAATAGCATTACGAATAGTTAATTATCCATTTGTTTGCGAAATGGACAAAGGGGAAGCAGATGGATTTGTTAGCGAGGATTTCAGGTTAATTGGATTACATTAATTAAATGTTTGCGAAGCACATGTATTGGTTAAATCCAGTCACATTTTTAAAAACATGTGTCAGTACTTCAGCTTAAACAGAAGTATTTAATATTCTAACAAACTTCTTCATTTTGATGTTTACATTATATTACTCTAATTTTTATATTTGTAAAAATATGAAGGGGATATTTGTCTTTGTCGTAATCAGCTCCACCGGTTATTAACACACTGATAGTTTTACTTTACAAAACAATCAGTGAATGTAGGGCCACTGATTGTTTGGCCAAACTTTGCAGAAATATCTATTTATTCATTTATTTATTTATTTGTTTTAATTGTAGACAAAAACAATACTACACATATTACAATTAAATTTCAAATAATTGTCGTCTTGTCTCACAAATGAAAAGGAGCAGAAAGAAGAAAAAAAAAATCTTATGTTGCCTGCCCCTTTCTTCATACATGTACTAATTAAATTTAAACATTTAAAAAAAAAATAAAAATAAGATGGCCTTTAGCACTTCTTCAAACTGTTGTTATTTTATGTGTTTTTGTTTTCATAATTCTTTGTTTTTTATTGTTTTTTTTCTAATCATTCATTTCATACGATTTCACTGTTCTGATCTACACTGTATAGGTGTACACACTTTATTCTTTTAAATATAAAGTAAACGTTCTCCTTTATTACTAATATCAATGCGGCGAATGTTTCTGTGACGAGCAAAGCTGATCAGAATCAAAGAGAAGCAGTTTTTTGTATTGTTGTAGCTGCTGCATGTCTTTTACCAGCGTCACCGTCTCCCTGATTTTGGGAATTCAGAAGGATGCAGATATATCCGAGTTTCCAAGAACGCATAAAACTGACCAGTGACCTCTAAATCATAATCAAAAGTTGGCATTCTGAGCTGACAATGTTAGTTAATCCATCGTGAACATATTGTTTTGTTGTACCATTGTCTCCATATTCATATCTGACAGCCAGACCCAGAAGCCAGTCCAATGCCTCCTGTCGCTCCTGAACTTCAAACGGACTGTTCAAATCCTGTAAATACTGCGAACACATGCACTCCAGGTTAGAAAGAGACAACAAAGACATGTATTGTAAAAAATATATATATATATCATCGTCACCTTCTGAAACGCTTTGGGCCATTCTGAGCTGGGAATGTTCCTCAGGTTCCCCCTCTCCTCGATCTTATAGTGGCGGATCTTCTGGTCCTCGAGCCAAACAATGCAATTCCTATACTGTGTTTCATCTATATAATGAAAACAAAAAAATGTGTATACAAGTGATATCATCGTGAAATTTCCAGCCCAGCTACAAGAGGGGACTAAGAAAGCGTGATTACAGTACACAAAAGCAACCAGGAAGTACGATCGATCACATTAGTCCAGTTCTCAGGTCTCTGCTCTGGCTTCCTGTGGCTCAGAACCTCTGTGTTCAAGTCTCTCCATGGCCTCGCACCAAAGTACATCTGTGACATGTTCTGCCATATGAATCACTGGACTCCTGCTGGGACTCTGCTGGGACTCCTGCTGGTGCCCAGGGTCAGGACTAAACATGGGGATGCAGCATTTCAGATTTATACAGCTAAAATCTGAAAGTCTCCCTAAAAAAGGTGAGACAGTCTTATTCCCGACAATATTCAAACCCAGGTTAAAAAGCAGTTCTGTTTATCTGTGCAGACAACTGAGGGATTGCATTTTGACTCTTTATTGAACTGTGATTATATAAAATGTTAATGCCTTGTAATATTGTTTTGTTTAGCACTTTAGTTGTACTGTGTATGAACTGTGCTATAATATATATAATAACCTCGCCTTGCCTTTCCAGTTCCTGTTTGCATCATAGACTGTGAACATATGACTCTATATCAAATCCATTGGAGTGACAGCTAAGTGACGTTAGCGTTAGCCCCGGTGTTAGCCCGGTGTTAGCCCGGTGTTAGCCTGTTCCCACGTGTCTATCGCGGTGAAGGTTGATCGGTTCCCGTACCTTTGCTGTCGAATCCACTGGGGTTGTGGTAATCCAGAGCTGTCAGCTTTCTGTGAAACATGATTGCTTTTATGCCTTTGATATAAACTCAAACTTGTGCTCAAGTCCACAGCTCAGTTCTGTGCTAAGCTAGAGCCTGTACTACGCATGCGCAGCCGGTCCATTTCTGTTGTGGGAACGCTGCACTGCCCTCTACTGGTAAACCAAATGAGAAGCAGCTTATGGCAATATGGATGCTGCTGTGTCCAAAAAAGACAACAATGTTGTGTGAAATAACACCACGTTGTATATTTTTCTCGATTATTGTGTAGAATTCCGTCAACATATTAAAATTAACGGATGATAAATTCCCTCAAGGACAAATATAAGAGTACAAGCTTTGGTGTGTGAATTATTAAACATTTTTTAGACCCCAGGGAAGACCCAGGACCATAGACTGTACAGGACATGCTGGAGGGACTGTGTCTCTGAGCAGAATGCCTTGGGTTCCCCCGGATAAAGTGAAGGAAGTGTGCGTGGATAGGGAAGTCTGGGCGTCTCTGCTCAGACTGCTGCTCCCGCGACAAAGCGAAAGAAATCAGATCAATGGATGGAACTTTATCCAAATGGTTTCCTGAACTTAAAAACCACACCTAACCGTAAAGAAATGCAGAGTCTAAAAAGTACTTGTAGTAGTAGTAGTAAGTAATCTTTATTTATATACCGCCTTTTCACTGCACATCAGTCTCAAAGCGGTTTACAATTGTGATTTTTGGGAGTGGGGGGTCCAGTACAGGAGGCACATGCCAGACCTATTGTACATATTTTTAGTGGTAGGGGAAACCGGAGCACCCGGAGGAAACCTACACAGACACGGGGAGAACATGCAAACTCCACTCAGAAAGGCCCTGGTCCAACCGGGATTCGAACCCAGGACCTTCTTGCTGAGAGGCGAGAGTGCTAACCACTCAGCCACCGTGCCGCCTTAGGCAAGGCAAGGCACGTTTATTTATATAGCACAATTCATACACAAGGCAATTCAAAGTGCTGAACAAAACAAGAGAGCATTAAAATCATAAATAATCACAGAACATTAAAAAGAAAGATAAAAATATAAAATCCCCCAGTTGTATGCACAGTTAAACAGTACTGTCTTTAACCTGGTTTTAAACATTGTCAGAGAGGAGGCCTGTCTCACATCTTCAGGAAGACTGTTCCAGATTTTAGCAGCATGAATCTGAAAAGCAGCCTCCCCATGTTTAGTTCTGACTCTGGGCACTAACAGGAGTCCAGTCCCTGTGCTCCTCAGAGTCCGGGCTGGTTCATATGGGACTAACATGTCACTAATATATTTTGGTGCGAGGCCATGGAGAGACTTGTACACAAGCAGAGCTGTTTTAAAGTCTATTCTCTGAGCCACAGGAAGCCAGTGCAGAGACCTGAGAACTGGACTAATGTGGTCGTACTTCCTGGTTCTAGTCAGGACTAATGTGGTCGTACTTCCTGGTTCTAGTCAGGACTCGAGCTGCTGCATTTTGAATGTACTGCAGCTGTTTTACAGCCTGTTTGGACAGACCTGTGAGCAGGCCATTGCAGTAGTCTAACCTACTGGAGACAAATGCATGGATAAGAATCTCCAAGTCTGCTTTAGACACTATGTTTTTGATCCTGGAAATGTTTTTTAGATGGTAAAAAGCTGCTGATGTTACTGATTTGATGTGGCTATTAAAATTTAAGTCTGAGTCCAGTATTACCCCTAGATTTCTGACCTTGTTTGAAGGTTTTAGGGAGAGAGACTGTAGGTGACAGATGACGCTCTCTCTTTGTTTCTGGGGACCAAAGACAATCATTTCAGTTTTGTCTGCGTTTAGCTGAAGGAAGTTGTTTTGCATCCACTCACTGATCTGTTGGATACAGTGAAGGAGTGAGTCCACTGGTCCATGTTCTCCTGCAGTCAGTGAGACATAGATCTGAGTGTCGTCTGCATAGTTATGATAGGAAACTTCGTTTATGCGTATTAACTGACCTAACGGCAGCATGTAGAGATTGAACAGAAGAGGTCCCAGGATCGACCCCTGTGGGACTCCACAGGTCAGGGCCATATGATCTGAGACACAGTTTCCAATCTCCACAAAGTACTTCCTGTCTTCAAGGTAAGACCTAAACCAACTTAGGGCGGTGCCAGCGACGCCAACCCAGTCCTCTAGTCTCTGTAAGAGGATCTCATGGTCGACAGTGTCAAAGGCAGCACTTAGATCTAACAGGATTAGGATTGAGACTTTGCCTGCGTCAGTGTTCAGCCGGATATCGTTTGTAACCTTAACGAGAGCAGTCTCAGTGCTGTGGTGGGGTCTAAAGCCGGACTGAAACATATCAAATGAGTTGTTGATTATAAGAAATCTAGTAAGCTGTAGGTAGACAACTTTCTCAAGGACTTTCCCCATAAAAGGCAGATTTGAGATGGGACGGTAGTTGTTAAGTACCGTAGCATCGAGACTGCTCTTTTTTAGCAGGGGCCTGATGACTGCAGTTTTCAGGGCCTTTGGGAATATTCCAGAATGAAGGGACATGTTTACTATCTGGGTGAGTGAATGTAACAGACTGCTCAGAACAGACTTCAGAAATCTAGTGGGTAGTACATCCAAGCTGCATGTGGAGGAGCTCAAACTGGAGATTATCTCTTGGACAGTTTGATCATTTACAGGTGCAAAGTGAGTTAGCTCAGAGAGCCTTTCTGGCTGTTGGATGGTTATCTGTGGATTGGAGACAATGGCGTTTTTGATGCCTTGAACCTTGTCATTGAAAAAATGAGCAAACTCATTGCATTTACGTTTGGAAGTTAGCTCTAATGGCATTTGAACAGGGGGGTTTGTTAATCTATTAACTGTTGAGAACAGAACACGCAGATTGTTGCTGCAGCCTTCAATCATTTCAGAAAAATACCTTTCTCTCGTACTACGTAGCACCTGGTTAAACTCGCACAACTTATCTTTGAAGATCTCGTAATCAACCTGGAGGTTGGACTTGCGCCACTTCCGCTCGGCCCTCCGGCACTTTCTCTTTTGTGCCCTGACCGAGTCTGCTTTAGCCCACGGCGCCTTCTGCTTATTTTTCACTATTTTAACCTTCACAGGAGCGATGGTATCCAGAACATTCAAAACACTAGAGGTGACAGAGTTAAACAGTTCATCTACAGTAGAATACGATGCATTCTCAAAGTTTATCATTCCCATAAATAGTTCACTCGCATTTTCATTTATGCGCCTTCTTCGAACAGTTGCAGAGTCCACTGGTGGTTTGTTAGTGAAACACATGTCAAAAAAAACACAGAAATGATCCGAAAGAGCAACATCGACCACGTTTACATTTGAAATATTCACCCCCTTTGTAACTAACAGATCTAGAGTGTGCCCTTTGCTGTGGGTGGGGCCACTCACATGCTGAGTGAGACCAAAGGTATCAAGTACAGAACTCAGCTCATTTGCATTTCTGTCATCAACATTATCCACATGAATATTAAAATCACCTGTAATAACCAAACTATCAAAATCTGTGCATACAACTGAAAGCAACTCGGTAAAATTATCAATAAAACTGTGACATGACTGCGGTGGCTTGTATAGGACAATGAAGAGTATTGGAGGAGATTGTTTTTGTTGTATTTTAAAAGACACATATTCAAATGACAAAAACTTCCCAAGAGACATTCTATGGGAGACAAAGTGGTCTCTGAAAATGGCAGCTAAGCCTCCTCCTTTTTTGTTTTCCCGTATTTCAGATTCAAACTTGAAATTTGGTGGTGATGCTTCTATTAAAACTGCATTTTCTGAATTTTGGTCAAGCCAAGTTTCAGCCATGAACATAAGATCAAGATTATGAGAACAAATAAAATTATTGATTAAAAAAGACTTGTTACAAAGAGATCTGACATTAAGCGTAGCCTTAGCCATCCGTTAACTCCGGTAAAAGTTATTTGATTACTAGTCTTTTTCAAATACAAGGAGAAAGATTAGAAGTTAGGCACCAGATAGAAGTGAAGTAGTAAAATGGTGACCTGAATCTATTTTCCTTATTCATAATAATAATTAATAGATTGATACTCTTACAAATATCCAAGATTACAAATAAAACTGCACAGTTCATAGAAAAAAAAAGATACAACACTTTTATTATGTGTCACATTGTACAATAAAAAAAACACCATCAAGAGGAGTACACACGTCTGAATGTGGGCTTGTGAGAACCGATGGACCTTATATGGAATTTAAAAAGGTCTCATGCGTGGCCCAAGAGGCGGCGCTCTGTTAGGAGGCGTGATTGCTATGTCCAGATAGTCCCCAATTTGAAACCTCTGCGACTGCAATGTCATGGAATCATCTGCACCTTTCCGGCCAGAAATAGTGCTGCCTATGTCTTTTAGCCTGTGAGAGAGAGAGAGAAAGGCTTGTTTAAACATAAAAGATCTGTTTGAAAATGATTTAGACATAGACAGGTTTATTACATTAACATTTCCCCATAGTGGGAGCAGGGAGTAGCTGGCAATACTGTATAAAAAAAAATGTGTTAAAAAAGTAGTCTCTATACATATAGGTACAGGTAGAATGATACAGAGCAGATAACAATATTAGATCTGAGACTTAAAACTGGGGTACTTTATGAAATAGTCTGTTATTTGCTACAACAGAAAGTAAATGGTAAGTGTACTTTTGTGTCTGTAAATGTGTATGAAAAGATGAAGATAAGCATGCATGTAAAACTGTTTAAGAATGAGGTTCTGTGGTTTAAAAGTGTGTCACCCCGGGGTGAGGGCATGGCATAAATGCAGTTCTGTGCAAGCACCAAAAGGCCTTTTACCTGTACGCTTTGGTTCGAGGCTCTGGGAATACAATAGCAAAGCTGAAGTGTGTCCCCTTTTTTCTTGCTTCCGGATATACTTCTTTCACCAGGCTAGTCAGCTCTTTCAAAGTAGCATCCATCCTGAACACAAAAAACAAAGTCAATTAAAGCTTGGAACTAGGGGTGGGCCAAATATATTGTTGACAATATCATGAAAGTCAATTTGAACATATGCTTTTTTTATATTATCGTCTTTATTTTTCAATACATATTACAATTAGAGAAGGAAAGATGCCCATTCGTCTAATGTGTGCCTAAAAAGAGAACCACTGATTTATTTGTACATTTCAGTAAATATTGAGCTCGCCTTTTTTGATGTGATCTTTCTATGTTACTTGAATTTGATTTTTAATGTTAACATACGTGTTAGGAATTAACCAGACAGAGACTGATCGTGGTGCACCAAACTCTGGAAGTTTATTTTGGTTTCTCTCAAGTTCCAGTGGTTTCTGATGTTTCTTTCTGTCAGATCAAAATGGAGTCCGTACAGTTATATATGTCACACAGAGACAGAGAATATCATAGTCAAAACATGGAGTCCTTGTATAGTCTTGCAGTTGTAGTTGTTTGCACGTAGGCCAAAACGCTATCTAATCCTCACATATGTCAGCGCATGTTTAGCAAAGATGTGTGAAGCACTTTAGAAAATAAAAAGCTTCTATTTTGATCTACACTGTCTCTTATCTATAGATGCCCTGGCAAGAAAAACATTGCAGATCATTTTGTATAAAAATGACTGATTATAAAAGATATCGTGACAATATCGTTATCCGGAGTTGGGAGAAAAAAAAATCGAGATATTTATTTTTATCCATATCGCCCACCCTTACTTGGAACACATTTGAAACGGTCTTTTAAATCGTGTATAGAGCTCACCAAGTGTAGATCTGCAGCTCACTGGAGGGCACATTTCCTCTGGCAAACTCATCAGCCCTGTGGTGGCGTCCGTTGTTGGTGGTAAATACACGCAGAAGGAGAGGGCAAGTCTATGACCACATCAAACACGAAAATATCATTTAAAATTATTCAAACAGGACAATATTATATACATCAAAGTAGCAAAATACGCTGAAGTAAATTAGAATATAAAAAACTCCGCCGTTCATAAAAGATACAGGCTTGTTTGTTTGCACTCATAGTTAGCATTAGCATTGGGCTAGCCACATGCACAAACTACATCACGAGACCTTTTCGCGGTCGATGGGTTTCTCTGGCTCCTTCTTGATTTCTTCTTGTGTGATCCGAGATTCAAGCGCCATGATCTTACTTTTATGAGGGTTCTTAAATGAAATATAACTATCCAGACAAATGGTAAGAGACGATGCTTGTTGGCTCAGCTGCAGCATGCAAAGAGCAAAGCGGAACTAGCACGAGCTCAATTCCGCCCGGAGCCAACGAGTAGCAACACAGCGCCCCCTGTGGCCGGAAGGAGAAGTGGCTGCACCTGAATTAAAAAAAAACACTCCCGCTTTTCTCCTTTTCAATATCTTCTATGGATTAACATTTCACTTGAGCATACCTGAACTCATTTTGACATTTTAAAGGATAAATAAGGACGAATAAGGATAAAGAAAGAAGTACTGTTTATGCATTTTTCACGGGATTTTGCAGCAGCCCCAGTGAGAGACTTTCAGGAGGTGGTTTTATTTACAGTCTATGGTGGTATTATTTACAGTCTATGGTGGTATTATTTACAGTCTATGGTGGTATTATTTACAGTCTATGGGTGGTATTATTTACAGTCTATGGTGGTATTATTTACAGTCTATGGTGGTATTATTTACAGTCTATGGGTGGTTTTATTTACAGTCTATGGTGGTATTATTTACAGTCTATGGTGGTATTATTTACAGTGTATGGTGGTATTATTTACAGTCTATGGTGGTGTTATTTACAGTGTATGGTGGTATTATTTACAGTCTATGGTGGTGTTATTTACAGTCTATGGTGGTGTTATTTACAGTCTATGGGTGGTTTTATTTACAGTCTATGGTGGTTTTATTTACAGTCTATGGTGGTTTTATTTACAGTCTATGGTGGTATTATTTACAGTCTATGGGTGGTTTTATTTACAGTGTATGGTGGTTTTATTTACAGTCTATGGTGGTATTATTTACAGTCTATGGTGGTATTATTTACAGTCTATGGGTGGTGTTATTTACAGTCTATTGGTGGTGTTATTTACAGTCTATGGGTGGTTGTATTTACAGTCTATGGGTGGTTTTATTTACAGTCTATGGTGGTTTTATTTACAGTCTATGGTGGTTTTATTTACAGTCTATGGGTGGTGTTATTTACAGTCTATGGGTGGTATGCAGACTGTAATACGTCACTAGTAGAATGTCATACAAAATGAAAAAACAGAATGCTTATATTTGAGTATTTTACATATACTGTAAATATTATTGTATTTTATTGTCTTTCAAATGTTTGTTGAATGTATTTGTAGTTTGTAATGGTATGCATCCATAACTTATTTAAACAAGTTCTCAGATCTCTGCATTGGCTTCCTGTGGCTCAGAAAATAGACTTTAAAGTACATCTGATTGTTTAGGATTTCAATGCCTTTTGAATGTGTAATTTCAATGTTTCTTTTCTTGCCTTGCTTTATAACTGTGCTCTTCAAACACACCTACTTTGCCTTGCCATCCCTAAGTTTATCACAAAATAAATGGTATAGTGCAGGAGAAGGCTCTCACAGTCTGTAATGTACTTTTTAAGACAAAACATGCAGTGAGGACCCACCAAAATAGTTTGTGCGTGCCCGCCCTCTGTGAACAGAACAGTGGGGCATTGAGGCCGTGATGCTGATATCCATTCATTGATATGCATCGGGAAAACGAGCCACTGTGATTCTACAACTGGCTGTGAAATTGCTCACCTACAATTCATCAAACTAGTAACATTCATATGTGCCTTGAATGGGTTATTTTTGTCCCAACTTCTTTTTTCTGTCAATGCTTGCCCCATTTGTATCTGAAAAGTGTATCTTCATTGAGTTGCATTACAAGCCACAGAGAGAGAGTGTGTACTAACTATTGGATGCCTGGTCCTGTGAAACAACATTAGCAATGCATCAATTAGTGTGACGTTATTTGGAATAGAAATGCAAAAAGGAAGAAGCCAAATTTGACTCTTATAAAACAAAATATGTGGGGAAAAAAAACAAATTGCCATTGTTTATGTACACCACAATACAGAAACATTGACTAATACTTCCAGACTATTCTACTTCTTAAAACCATTCCAAGTAGTTTTGTGCAGAAGCGTTTTTGTAATGATCAGAGATGGTATTGTGGTACTGTGGTGTAATTTTAGCGGTGTGGGCCGACGGTTCACCAGTTCACATGAATGCCTCCACTCCTCCTCTTCTCATTCTTTTTCTTCCTTTTGCTTCATGCACTGTATCAATCATTTTACATCGCACTGAATGAATGCAACGTCGGAGCTATGTATCTGCTCTTTTGAACTGGATCGTTTTCTTTTGTTGTTTTGTGAATGTTAACTCCTTGTATGCGCTCTTAGGATGTCCTGGCCTGCCCTGTATATTCAGTTGGTAGGAGCCAACCGCCACTCCACCAGCCTGGGCAAAATCTGGCTCTCAGTGCTCTTCATATTCAGAGTCATGGTTCTCATGGTGGCCGCCGAAAGCGTGTGGGCAGATGAGCAGACGGACTTCACCTGCAACACCCTTCAGGTAATATTCAGTGACTAAGTTGATATTGATATTGATTCTGTCTCAGTCAGGACATGTTGCTAATGTTAATGAATAATTTATTTCGAGCCATGGCAAACAAGAACAAAGAACACCAGCAAAGCAAAACAACTGACTGGCTGAGTGGTTAGCATTCTCGCTTCTCAGCAAGAACGTCCTGGGTTTGAATCACGGTCGGAACAGGGCCTTTCTGAGTGGAGTTTTCATGTTCTCCCTGTGTAGGTTTCCTCCGGGTGCTCCGGTTTCCCCTACCACTAAAAATATGCTCACTAGGTAAAATCTTCCTCCTCCGGTAGTCCTGACCAAGCTGGGCATTAAAATCTGGAGATGGGTTCCCGGGCGCTGTTACTACGGCGACCACTGCTCCTGATGAAAGCCTTTGTGGCATCAGATCAGAATGGGTCAAATGCAGAGGACAAATTTCCCTATGGGGACAATAAAGTGCTCATTTATTATTGTTGCCTTTCCTGTGTTTGAACTGTTTGATTCTCTGATCTGTATTGGTCAGAGAGAGAGCAGAGAGAGAGCAGAGAGAGAACAGAGAGAGAGCAGAGAGAGAACAGAGAGAGAGCAGAGAGAGAGCAGAGAGAGAGCAGAGAGAGAACAGAGAGAGAGCAGAGAGAGAGCAGAGAGAGAGAGCAGAGAGAGAGAGCAGAGAGAGAGAGCAGAGAGAGACCAGAGAGAGAGCAGAGAGAGAGAGCAGAGAGAGAGAGCAGAGAGAGCAGAGAGAGAGAGCAGAGAGAGAGAGCAGAGAGAGAGCAGAGAGAGCCAGAGAGAGAGCAGAGAGAGAGAGCAGAGAGAGAGCAGAGAGAGAGCAGAGAGAGAGAGCAGAGAGAGAGAGCAGAGAGAGAGAGCAGAGAGAGAGCAGAGAGAGAGCAGAGAGAGAGAGCAGAGAGAGAGCAGAGAGAGAGAGAGCAGAGAGAGAGCAGAGAGAGAGCAGAGAGAGAGAGAGCAGAGAGAGAGAGCAGAGAGAGACCCAAGGGAGAGAGCAGAGAGAGAGCAGAGAGAGACCAGAGAGAGCAGAGAGAGCAGAGAGAGAGAGAAGAGAGAGAGAAGAGAGAGAGCAGAGAGAGAGCAGAGGTAGAGACTAATGGTCTTCAGAGTCCTCAGAGTGATTTAGGGCTATACAAAAATATATTGAATTGCGAGTTGAGAACAGACTGTATTGTCTAATATACAATAGATCGATAGATGGATAATTTATTGATCCCCGTAGGAGAAATTCAGGTGTCCAGTAGCAGCAAAAATAAAAATAAAATGGATCATTCTAAAAACATAATAATAGTAATAATAGTCAGCAACAGCCCTTTAGGTCACAGCAGCAGAGGTGGAGTAGCCTCTGGGTGGAGCAGGACGGGTCACAGCAGCAGAGGTGGAGTAGCCTCTGGGTGGAGCAGGACGGGTCACAGCAGCAGAGGTGGAGTAGCCTCTGGGTGGAGCAGGACGGGTCACAGCAGCAGAGGTGGAGTAGCCTCTGGGTGGAGCAGGACGGGTCACAGCAGCAGAGGTGGAGTAGCCTCTGGGTGGAGCAGGACGGGTCACAGCAGCAGAGGTGGAGTAGCCTCTGGGTGGAGCAGGACGGGTCACAGCAGCAGAGGTAGAGTAGCCTCTGGGTGGAGCAGGACGGGTCACAGCAGCAGAGGTGGAGTAGCCTCTGGGTGGAGCAGGACAGGTCAAAAAAGGTGGAGTACCCGCTTGATACGGACCATTTTCTCTGCTCTGTGTTTTCAGAGATCACATATACAATATAATATGTCTAATAATATTGTCAACTATTGAACTAAACAAATGCTTTCCCCTTTCATATCAGTCATAGCCCGGTCTTAGCCATCAGTCAACTCCGGTCAATCCTTTCCCTGATGGTGTGGTACGACCAGGCTATATGAAGTAGTAGTAGTAGTTTAATTTCTTCGGCCAATATGTACACCAGGTCTCAGGTCAAATGTTTTCAGAAATCACATATACATTTTACAACAAGAACAAAAAAAGAACCAAAATGTGTCCACTTTAGTGCGAAACAATGCCTGACCGATCAGTTATAACACCTTTGCAGCCGGCTTCTTTACTGTGTAGAGTTTCTTGTTTGTGGGTGTCACGGAGGCTGAGTGGATAGTGGACTCTTGGGTCTCAGCAAAAAGATCCTGGGGTTGAATCCCGATCGTGCAGAGCCTTACTGAGTGGAGTTTGCATGTTCTCCCTGTGTATCCGTAGGTTTCCTCTGGGTGCTCCTGATTCTCCTACCACTAAAAAATTGTGCAATTGTTCATGGTGTGTGTTTGTGCCCAAGGCCAACATCCAGAGTGGTGTTCGTTAACATTTACATTTAACATTGACTTATTAAACTTGTCTCCCTATGGTTTCTATCTGGATGGAGTTTTTGTGGGCCCTCACCACCCAAAGCAATGCACCAAATACGGAAAGTTCTAATTCTTTTGATTTCAAAGCATAAAAACTTTAAAACGCTGTTAAATTACTTTGAATGATATTGCCTGGTTATTGTATTAAGGCTCATTTAATCCATGTTCCCGGTGAAACCCCTTTAATCCTGTCCTTCTTGCTTTTATATCTTTTATAGCCCGGCTGTGAGAACGTCTGTTACGATCAGTTCTTCCCAGTTTCTCACGTGCGTCTGTGGTGCCTCCAGCTCCTGTTTGTGTCCACTCCCACTCTTCTCATCGCCGCTCATGTGGCCTATTTGAACCACAGAGACAAGACCGGGCTACTGCAGGTCAGACTGCCACTCTAATCTCATCATTTACACATCTGTCTTGACTGTGCAATGATTTTTAGGCTTCCAGAAGAGTTGGCTTTCTGTCTAGCAAAAATCAACTCAGCCAAGAAGAAGAGATTGAGCACTTGAAAAAGAGAAAACGTCCTATTATTGGCACTCTTTGGTGGACGTATGCATTTAGCGTTGTGTGCAGAATACTGTTTGAAGGAGGATTTATGTGAGATGTTTTATTTCATACTATATGTGTATACTGCCATGCTGATCAAATATATGTACACTATTGTAAAAGTGTTTTCATCATGCAGGTATGTTCTCTACTTGTTGTATGATGGATTTCGAATGCCGCGCTTGGTCCGGTGTGATCAGTGGCCCTGTCCAAACCTGGTGGACTGCTTTGTGTCCCGTCCCACTGAAAAGACCATCTTCACCCTCTTCATGGCCACGGCATCTTCAGTCTGTATGGTTCTCAACATGGCTGAACTGGTGTATTTGATTGCCAAGGCTATCACACGGTAAGAATCACAAGAAAGTTAGTTTGGAAGATCCTGGTTGTGCTATTATTATAATGTTTTGTTCCAGGGCGATTCTGCAGAGATCATCCAGGAATGAGAACAAGCAGAATAAAGCAAGCCTAAATGTGCTTGTGTCTGATTAATATGAATAAATCATTCAAATGTACGAATAAACATTGAATTTAAATTGGTGAGTCAGTGTCGCCCTCTACTGGTGATGGCGAGATTGCAATAACGAGGTAAAACAGGACATTCTTTGAGAAAAAAAAATATTTATTGCGTTTTCAGATCTGGAGAAATGTGGTTTTCGTTTATAATTTATCCTCTTCATAATTTGAGATACATTTTCAGTCTCGGTGCACAACTATTGCATCACAGCAAAGCCCAAATATGATGCAACATGACATACGACATAAGCCCTTTATTATGTTTGAGTTTCTTTTTACATGCTTTTTATATTCATATAAATATTATTATCATTTATTTTGATTATCTTTGCTTTTATGATGTAACATTAGACCCAAAAGAACGACTTGGAAATGCATTCCACTTAGAGAAATGATACAAAAATAATAATATATTTCATTATAAATAAAAATGTAAAACTGATAAAATATTGGGGATTTTGCTCTATTTGTATGTTTTGTATGCAGGTCTTTTGAATCTTTATTTTCAGTATTTGCTGTTAGTCTTGGGTATACAGGCTTATTATTGCAATATGTTTTTACAAATTTGCAGAACACAATCGGCTGAATGTACAAGTTTAGTCTCAGCCCAAAGCGTCTAAAGACTTACTGGACTTTTCCTCAAAGTGTTGCAATAATTAAAGAATAGACAGTGAAGTATTCCCCTCAACAATGCACTTCTGGGGATTGTTGAAATCAGGATGTGCTCATTTGGGCCTGTAGTTAACAAACTGAGTCGGGCCTGATTGAGGCCTACAATCAGTGCGTTCTATGTTCCGACTCTGATCCCAACTGGACCGTGTCTTTGATGGTCTGCACTCTGGCCAGTCTCGTGCCCTGCCCTCCCCCCCTCCCCCCGGACACCCCTTGCGCGCCCCACGCACGGGACAGTGTGTGACAGTGGCGGTTGGCCTTGGCCACGGGGGACGCAGCCGCTGCGCTTCGCCTTCGCGGGACAGGATCCACTCGCGCCGCTGTATCAGACCAGAGCAGACTCTTCTCTATCTCTGTGAAAGTGTCTCTGCCTCCACAAGCTGCAGCTGCTGGCCCCTGAGGCCCCTGAGCATTGGAGGAGAGCAAAAGACGGCCCCGCGGGAGGCACAGGTCCAGAGGAGAGGTAAGAGCAGGGATGCTGACTGATGCTGTGGGTTCAAGTGGGAGGGAAGAGGAGGGATTATCTTCTTCCACCTGCGGGATTAGAGGCTCCTCGTGCACTTCATTCAGCGCACGCTCAGGATTAGGCCCAACTTTAGAAAGCCCGCATTTACAACTCATTCAGAGTAACTCAAACTCTCCATGTGGTCATTCATCACAGGTTACTGCACACGTGCTGAACTGCCAAGTGGGTGTTTGTGGCCTGTATGAAATGGGAATGCTTGATATTCTTGTTTTTCATATTGACATCTGGATACAGTTACTGGGCATCATCAATATTAGTAAAGTATTAAAGGTATGTCGTTACAAGTGAAATTGTGTTATTATTTTCTATTTGTGTTGCTGAAACAAACAAAAAACAGTTTGTATTTGTAGGTGATTTGCGCATGAAGTTACATTACACCTACTTTATAATCGTGACTCCCTTCTATTGGAGTAGACTCTGTTGGATTTTTGTTGTTGTTGATAGTGCTCTAATGTTGCATATAGTATTTGCATTGAGTGGATGTTTTTTGGGAGTAAGTGGCTGGCCAAGAGTTAACTGTTGTGGCTGTTTTAGCACAAAGAGCTGTGATCCATCAAAAGCGCACCGCAGCCTGGACAATGTCCATCCAGCAGCTTCTCTATTGTCTGCGTTTGACAGATGGTATTTCATCACGTCAACACATCATGTACATGTACACATACCTCAAGTAGAAAAGGCCTCTAATGTCGGCACTAGTGGGAATGACCTGACTTTCATATGATCATTATTGAACATCTCATACGTTTTCTAGTTACATATGTGTTTAACTTTTATTAATGTAGCTTGATTTTATGTCAGTAGGAATAAGATGTGCAATGATTTTTTAAACAATCCTCCAAAGTCTGACCTGTATTCTGTGCTACTGTTGTTATAACTTTTATCTTTTCAAAGGCAGTTATAGCCTGCATGGTCTTGTCCAGTTGATGGAGTATGATAGTGGAGCTTTGGGTGAGTGTACGTTGGTGTATCGGTCAATCCCAGGCAAACATTTGCCCTCCTCAGCATTCCAGGGATGTGATGAGTGCAGCATTCAACAGGGACAACCTGTTATCCACTCTTTCACTTCCCACAGATGGGGGCCTTTGTCTCAGTGTCCACCCGGGCCTGCTGCACCCTCACAAATACCATTACACACAAATGCATGTATGTCTGGAAGCAAATGTCTACGGGATCATCTGTGTGCTGCGTTTTTCATGTCATTTGTAAATGTGTAAAATGACAAGTGCGAAACAGAAACTGGCAACATCATTGAAGCAGCATCCTTTGTCTCATTCCAGGTACAGTTTTGTTCCTGATATTTGGTCGATGGATTTAACACTGACAAAACAACATATATTTAGTAAGTTTGCATTGATGTTATGAGGAACTAGACAAGTACAAGGACTAAACTCTTAAACCATCTTTCCTTTTCCCATGTCAGTGTGTCTCTTTGGAAATCACAAGTTGGCTGTCTGTGCAGGTTAGAAAAGTAAAGCATGGGTGACTGGAGCTTTCTGGGGCGGCTGCTGGAGAACGCTCAGGAACACTCCACTGTCATAGGAAAGGTGAGTAACAAGAAGAGAAGCAGACTTTGCAGCTTCATTAGTGTGAACAAAGTGAATGTGCAGGTTTGAAATCATACCTGTGAATGGAAAGTCTAACAATACTGTAGAATGTACTGAGGAAGGAAGACAATCTTCATGCAAACAAGGGGCTCTCATCCAGAACATGTACAAGTCAGACTTGTGGAGAAGCAATTCATTTTACACATGGCTTGCATTATTTATGCTTTTACATTTCTTCATCTTAGTCTGTTTTTTTCATTACTTAACTTTGAGACTAGTGCAGGAATAAAACATTCACCCAAACGTAAGTTTGACAAATAACAGCCTATCAAGTGTGCATGAGCCTCACATCTCCATCATACCAGTGTGTTTCTTTTCTCTGAATGAACCGACATGATGGCAGTTCCTCTGTGCTCCTCTAGGTTTGGTTGACGGTCCTCTTCATTTTTCGCATCTTGGTCCTGGGGGCAGCAGCGGAGGAGGTGTGGGGCGATGAGCAGTCGGACTTTACCTGCAACACGCAGCAGCCTGGTTGTGAGAACGTCTGCTATGACGAGGCCTTCCCCATCTCCCATATTCGCTTCTGGGTGCTGCAGATCATTTTTGTGTCCACACCCACGCTCATCTACCTGGGCCATGTGCTGCACATTGTGCGCATGGAGGAGAAAAGGAGAGAACGGGAAGAGGAGCTCCGAAAGTCAGGCCGACACCTGGAGGACCATGACCCTCTTTATCACAATGGCGTGGGGGATGGAGGTGGTAAAAAGGAGAAGCCTCCAATCAGGGATGAGCACGGAAAGATACGCATCCGAGGAGCTCTGCTCAGGACCTACATCTTCAACATCATCTTCAAGACTCTGTTTGAGGTCGGCTTCATTCTGGGACAGTACTTCCTCTACGGCTTCCATCTAAAACCACTGTACAAGTGCCGTCGTTGGCCTTGTCCCAACACTGTGGACTGCTTCATCTCCAGGTCAGAATGTTTTAATATCATTTCAGTCAATTGTTTTTTCAATTTGTTGATTTTGTTGACTATTCATTTTCGATGTGTAATGTTGTTATTTGTTGTTTTCTTAGGCCGACAGAGAAGACAATTTTTATTATCTTCATGTTAGTGGTTGCCTGTGTGTCCCTGGTACTCAACCTGCTTGAGATCTACCATTTGGGCTGGAAGAAGGTCAAACAAGGGGTCACCAATGAGTTCTCCCCCACCTCTGAGTCACTGCTGCTGGGTTCACATGGTCGTGGTGATGCAGTCACCGTGGCAGAGCAGAGCTCTCCTCCGGTGCACGACTGTTTGCCAACATACAACCGTGTGAGTGAGGTGAATGGCGCCCCGGCTGAGGGCGGCACATACAGTCCCATTGAAGTGCCGATGGTTATACCTCTGAACCCCAACACGACAGCGCCCCCATACCCGCTGAAGGCAGGAGGGGACAGCTTAATGGTGGAGGGCATGTCCAGTCCCCTTTATGAGAAAGTGAGCATCGGGAGCCACAGTCACATAGCTGCAATGGAGCAGAACTGGAGCAACATGGCACTGGAGCTCCAGTCTTCAGATGGTAAAAACTCCCCCAGCTCTGACCACCCTACGGCTCCATCTCCCCCCAGCTCAGCCTCCTCTTCCCCCCAACAGGAGATGACTCCACCACACCCAGATGAAGAGCTTCTGTCGTCTTTCCCCACACTGCCCCGCGACACCCCCCTCAACCTCATCGCTCCCAAAGAGGAACCAGAGAGTGAGGAGAGCCCCTCACCAGACGACTTTACCATCGTCACCAAAGCAGAGATGCACCCGCCTCCAGCTGCCCTTCTGACCGACATCCAGAGGTCTAATCGAGCCTGCAAGCCCAGTATCCGCGCTCGCCCTGACGACCTGGCAGTGTAGCTAACCACACTCACATTACAGAGTTTAGTTTTACACATAGGCCAAACATTCTATTCTTCCACTTAAAGGTGCGCCGTGTAGCTTTAACGGAGCTCAATGAAAACAACATTTTGAGTGCTGTGCTTGCGTGCTGGTCAGACACAGCATATTTGTCATTGAGAAGAACAATGGAACCACCTGAAACAGTGCATAGACCTCTCAGTCTTGGCTCATATTTATAAATAAACATTGTTCATGTCAGCTTAAGTTTTAAATGGCCGTTGGTTTATTGCATAGTTTAGCTACATTAGCTATGGTGACAACACTTGAATGTAATGTCCACTCCTTAGGTGAATGAAATCAATAAAACATGTTTTTGTTCCATCTGATGGTGGCATAGTCACTGGCACATCTTAAAGGAAGATAAAAAAGACTGTAACATTTACGTTTACTGAGCTGCACAAATTGAAATACTTAGTCCCTACACAGTGCACCTTTAACAATTATCATAATATTCAAAATGCAACACCATTATTATTCTCATTGGCTTTATGTTTGTATAATTGAGATCTCCAACTGCTTTTACTTGTATGACTGCCTACTAACATGCTCTTACTTCTCTAAGAGAAGTCATGGAACCATGAGATGGAGAATGCATACAGGATACTGCCTACACACTGAGGATCTGAGGAGGGAATGGGCTGGACTAAGTAATGCATGTGGGAGCTTAAGGCAGAGAAAATATAGTATTTTTTCTTTCTTGTTAAATTTACTGGAGGACAGTCGGTGATAGGCTTGCACTTTTGTTTTTTCTTTTTCTGTGAGGTGTTGGCAGCGCGTGTGTCCGTATGTGTCGTCTCTATCTCAGCCTGTAGTTTCAATGACGAGGGGGATGCAGCGGTAGATCACCTTTAGAAGTAGATAGAAGCCTTGTCCCACCCTGAGGCCTGGTGCAGAGGCTCCACAGAGGCCTGGTACAGAGGCTCCACAGAGGCCTGGTGCAGAGGCTCCACAGAGGCCTGGTACAGAGGCTCCACAGAGGCCTGGTACAGAGGCTCCACAGAGGCCTGGTACAGAGGCTCCACAGAGGCCTGGTACAGAGGCTCCACAGAGGCCTGGTACAGAGGCTCCACAGAGGCCTGGTACAGAGGCTCCACAGAGGCCTGGTGCAGAGGCTCCACAGAGGCCTGGTACAGAGGCTCCACAGAGGCCTGGTGCAGAGGCTCCACAGAGGCCTGGTACAGAGGCTCCACAGAGGCCTGGTACAGAGGCTCCACAGAGGCCTGGTGCAGAGCCACCTTAGTTCATCAGGGGATACTATATAAAGTCTATAAATATGTAAATACAGTAGCAATTATAGGCTACGCAGGATGTGTACATGGCACCTTCTGTTTTGAAAATTGTTTCTGATCCACTTACAACGATTTGGAGCTCTCTCTGACAAAGGCACCACACGTCACTTTATTTAAATCAAGTATAACTTTATTGCAGCTGGGGCAAAGCATTGGATCAAATCTCTGCTGGAGCTTGTGTTTGCAGTGTGTTACTGAACTGTTAAGTTAACCCTCGCTGTTCTGTGCATGACCCACTTATTTTAGACTAGCTGTAGATTTTAGAGTTCAAAACAGCTCAGCATAATGTGAATAAGTATAGGTCTTACTCGGTTCTGTTTTTTTCCCCATTTATTCCTGCCAAAGGTTAATGAAAGACTTTGTAGAAGATTTGCCTTACAACATATTCCCTGCAGCTCATTTTGAAAACAGGAACAGACGATAAGGGAGAGTGCTTTGGGGTGAAACTAGTTTTGTACATCTGTATGTTTCTTGCTAGGCTTACATTAGTTTTGTATTGCTACTTGAAATAATGATATATCCAATTCTTTGATATTGGTTGAAAATTAATTAAAAAGAAACTGAATATTTTTTTAAATTGAAATATTACACAAGATCTAGTGACTAGTTTTTTTCTGGCTGATAAAAGCACAATACATCACACTCAGATTGTATGTAGTCTTTAAATGTTGAAGAGTAGCCCATATATACATATATATATATATATATATATCAGAATCAGAATCATTTTTATTGCCACGTAAGTAACAGGAGGTCACAGACTAGGAAATTGCTTTGGCTCAGTGCAACAGTCAAAAAGAGATAATAAAAATAAGAATAAAAAACACTTCTAAAGAATAAATTTAAATTTAAAATAGAGTTACAGTTACTATTTACAATATACAAGTGCACATGGTGCACACAATGTAAGGTGACAGCAGTACAGTGAAGTAAAGTGACGTATGATGGGCAGTAAAGTGACTTTATAAAGGGCGGGGGGACAGGTTAAGAAGTGTTCAAGAGTCCAACAGCAGAGGGGAAGAAACTGTTCTTGTGGCGGGAGGTTCTAGTCCTGATGGACCGCAGCCTCCTGCCTGAGGGGAGTGGATGGAATAGTCCATGTGCATATATATATATACATATATATATATCATACATGCATTACAAACCAGTTTTCATCACGGTTTTTAACCTCAAATTTGCTTCCTTTTGATGAATCTAACTTTCTCACGTGTCAGATGTTTACAGACTGAAAGACGTCAATGATTCAAAAAAAAAAATGATGCAAACGAAACGCCAATGAGATTGAAAAAACAAAGAGCACTTTCTGAAAAACACACAATGGCAATAATTGATAAACAACAATGAAAACTGCTGTGATTCAAAGGGCGCACAGAGACTGAGGAGACATGTTGCATTTTGTCACTGATTGTAAAATGAGGCATATTCATTGATATTGCAGAAATGTTTTCATAACCTTGTTGTTCTGCACGGTTCATAGTATATTTGGCATGTAGATTAAGATTTGCACAGGTAGAAAGCTAGAACACTTAAATAGAAGAGACTATAACAAAGGCTGTCCTGAGAGGATGCATTTTAACATTATGTGTTTATTTATGGGAGAAGTGCTGCCGATGCTGGACTGGGACTGGATACTGACTCTAAAAGTTTTCTGTCCTAAAAATTGACTTTTAAATTTTTTTGGCCCCGACATTTTCACTAAGGATGTGGGAAACTCATAGTTCTTGCAACAACAGCTGAGACAAACCCCGGTGTGTTCAAAAGAGGACGCTTTGACTCCCCCTGTACGATGTCTCCAAACAGAAGTGCCTTGTGTCTGTGTTAGAACATGTTGATGTAAATGTCAATTTACCTCAGATGTTTACAGAGCTGTTACTGAATAAAACATTTTGTACCAACCCCACTTTCGATTACACTCTGTCATGTTTGTCATTTTCATTCAGTTCTGTTGTTGTGTTTCTATATAGTACATTTTTGTTGGTTATCAGTCCATTTGTTAAAGTGTGTAGATGACGCAGTAAACTACTAGACCTGATTGTAAATAGATCCGTGAAACTGTCTAGTTCCATGTTTTGCTCGTCATATACGCACCCGTGTCCCAGTGTGTCCTAGCGGCCTCGCCCATGAAGCTATGCTGAGGCTGGCACTTCCATTATTCTCATTCAAAGTCCTGGGGATTTTGTTCGGACAAAAACTCTTCAGGATCTGAAAAGGCCTTGAATGGTGGTTAATGCCATCACTGGACAGCAGACTACAGTGTGCACGTGTTCATGCCCCAAAAAGACTGTCTGCTACTGTACTGTTGAGTAAGGATTCAGACAAATGACAAATTAGAAGAATGACTGAACCTTTGGACCATAGAATCACGAGGGGTTTCAGCAGTGTCCCAGATGTCCCAGTGGTATCTCCAAAGATCACTGATGACACATCCGATGTTACTTCATCCCAGCATGTAATACTTTATCAAACCTTTCACACAGGTACCGTCAAAATATCCTCGAAACCGACTCGAGACCTCCACTGATATTCAATTAGCTATAACTATAATAATAACTTTTCTATAATCTTTTTTGTGTTGTTTATACTTGTTAAGTTTGAGTGTTTTTTGATCTAATATCACTTCACAGTAAGGGATTTGTATTTATATAAAAAATGTAGAAACAAAACATTCTAGAACTCCTCTCACAACCCCCAGCCCAGTAGTGACCTGCGACCCCCTGTTGGGAACCGCTGAACTCAAGGACAGTAGGCAGATGACTGGCCGGCCCTCCAGTGGACAAAACTAAAACTGCTCAACCCAAACACCACGACTGTTCAGATTCAGATTCAGATACATTTATTTGCCATTTGCAGTAAAACCACATTGGAAAAACTGTGCAAGACTACCCCAGTGTGTTCTAAATGTATTGGCTGTTATTATCATGACAGCTACTTTAGAAGAAAAAAATACACATGGGACGGTATACGTTTTAATGTCAATGGGTCTTTACATTGATAAACTAAAATGTATCTTAGTACCAATAATTAAAATCGTATGAAATATTATTCCTAAGGCTCACACCTGAAATGTTGAGATATGCTGCGGGGCCTTGGAGTCATTCTGCTTCCGGCCAACAACATGGGACTTCCAAATTCATAATACTCTCCACCTTTGTACACTTTGATGCCGTCTGAACCACAGTGAGCAGCATCAATGTTTGACAGGGGAAGGGGAGTGTCCTGGAGTGAAACCCGCGGAGTGGCCGTCAGGTCAACAGCCTTCATGCTGCTGCCTGTGGACAAATGCAAACAACCCATTTAGGTTAAAAGTGTAACCAATGATTGAAACATTATGGAGGAAATAAAACACTGACCTTGAATGACATACAAAGTGTTCTCAGAAGGGCACACGAAAGCAGCGTCTACTTTTCCTTCAATGTTCAACTCCTCTTGAAGCGTTTTGGGGTATCCTTCTATCAGAGTGTAATGGGCACCTCCTTTGTAGATGTATACTTGATCATCCTGCACACACATGTAGTGAGATTTACAAGTATACCACATTTATAGAGTTTGTACTATTATACTGTGTCTGCTGTGCTCCAGCGCGGTCAGTCCTACCTTAATCATGTACATGTTGTCATTGAAAGAGAAAACTGCATCCAGCCCACTGGACAACTCCTTCCAAGATCTTGCGATGGGAAAGGCGTGGAGCCCATCCCGAGCAGTGTCCAAGCGCATATAAACGCTCCCTGTGTATAAATACAGAACAGACCAAAAGTTTGGACACACCTTCTCATTCAAAGAGGTTTTTTTAATTTCCATGATTGTGAAAATTGTAGATTCACACTGAAGGCATCAAAACTATGAATGAACTCGTCCATCCATCCATTTTCTTCCGCTTAATCCGTTGCCGGGTCGCGGGGGAATTTTGTACGTACTATATATATATACAACATATATACATATATACAGTACATATATATTTCCAGTCTACGATCTGGACCTGGACTGTTCTTATGCTGCAGTAGCCCAGCAGCAGGGACCCAGCAGCAGGGACCCAGCAGCAGGGACCCAGCAGCAGGGACCCAGCAGCAGGGACCCAGCAGCAGGGACCCAGCAGCAGGGACCCAGCAGAAGCAGGTAAGGCATGGAAGTAAGTGACTCGCTGGATAACAACAAGTTAAGATATAACATCGATAGAAGCTGAAACGCATTGTTAAGACATACAAATTGATGAAGGAAAAACTTTTGAGAACATACAAAAAGTTTTTCTAACACAGTTGTTGGCAAGATAAAGCAGTCTACAGCCTCTTGCTAACGTAGGATAACTGCTAACACATTAGTACAGCAAAGCGTCATGTGTTGATATGTTTTTCATCATTAATTGTCTGTTTTTTTGATATAATGTCATTTTACCCGTAAAAAAATACGTTTTCCCAGCATCGTCTGTGGTAATGGCATCCAACTTGACCTCACTGCACTTGGGGGGCCTGTAACCATGTCCATGACCTAAAATACAACAGCATCAGTCAGTGCACCCAGACCACTAACATTGTTGTATTTCTAGACTCACCGAAGTTGTCACATTTCATGAAGTAGCTGCGGGCGTCCTTGGGATAGCCCTCAGGGACCACCCCTGTCACTGGGTGGAACCTGGTGAAGTTGTGTCCATGAAAGCAGTAATACTGTTCCAGCCATCGCAGAGCAGAGGTGCAGGCCGGCAGGTGGGACCATGTTTTTGTCTTCACCGTCTTTGTGGGGATGTCATATACGTGCACATCTTGTCCTGCAGGTGGTTGTGATCATTTACATTACTCCAATAGGGCACATACATAGCATAGTAGCGTTTCCTACTTGTTTGACACACGATAATAACATGCATTTTGTCCATTATTCAGGGCTAATTCTGAATGTAGTACAAAAACCACACATACCATTTTACTGTGTAGTGAATAAGCCGAAAGTTATATTAAATAATAATCTAGGCGGAAGATCCATTTCCATTCAATCCTAAAGTTTCATCGGAAATATAACTCTGACTGCCATTGACGTAGTTGTCGGACACCGGTGATTTCTATCAAACTTTGACTGGGGATTACAGAAGAACAAAACAAGCTACAAACCAACTTATTTTTTGCTGATGAAAGTAGACAGTCCAATCTTTCAGAATCTGGTTTCATATTTTACATAGTTATAGCTCACAATATTCTGTAGGTCTTGGAATTCAGTGAAATCCTCAAAAACCACTGGCAGTCAATTAGTTAATGATAAAACTAACAGTAGTAACACAATCGTATGGTGTTACAATTTAGTTTTATTGTGAGCTTTTTTGGACACATTCTCCTTATATTAATTCAATCACTGTTCAATTCTGTACCAGACTCATGCGAGGCAATGTGGGTGTCTTGCCTAAGTACAACAGTTGGGCACTTCTCCCGTCAGCCGTCCCTCTGAGACACTTCCCAGCTGTATCTGATCACTTAACAAACTCTCCATAGCTTCTCTAATCCGACAGCATCAGGCTTGGACATGATGGAGTGCAAACATGTTCAGATACCTTTAAAGAAAAGCACAGAGTCTGTTTTGCATTCTTTTTGAGGGCACTCCACTGCAGCGTCTAGGTGAGAGGGCACTCCAGGAAAATCCTCTTGGATGTCTTTGGGATAACCGTCCTCCAGACTTTCATTATAGTAACTGAATACTTTGTCATCCTTTACAAGACAGTATGACAATTATTCATAGTTAGTGTGGTAAAAGATAGGCTATGCTCTAGTGAAGCTTACCAGGAAAAAGTAGACGTGGTCATGGTCTCCGGCGTTTTCCACGTTGTGCATTCGGAAAGCAGCATCGACATGACCGATACCATGAACGTCGTCGAGTTCCTTAAAGACATTTGTAGACAGCTGAGCGTCACCTTCGTATCCCTTCCATAAGTGGCCGCCTAAAAAATGAGGCAAGATTTAAATACTCTTCATTTAGCGGAGAATCTTTGGTACAATTCGATTTCGATGACAAACCTTTAAAGAAAATAGTTGTCCCTTTCTCATCTGGGGAAATTGCATCAAACTCAAGGCCCAAACAGCGATCTGGAAGTGCAGACTGTGTGCTCTCTGAAATTGGGAGCAATAATCTGTTAATACATATGATATATTTGTTATGCTTAAAATAGTATTAAAATGGTTTACCAGGTTCTGCTACATCTTGCCTGTGAAATAAAGGAGAATCGGTCACAGATTGACAGGCAGAGCAAACACACCGACTTTTATCAAATTAAAACTATGCTGTACTTTTGAATTCGAGAATTATTGTTCCACAAATGTTCTACAAAAACAATCAAATCGTACTCACGCTGGGGCCCCAAAGGAAAGAGCAAGCAGCAGGCCCAGAAAGAGTAGGCTTGATAGCAGCTTCATATTGTTTTAGTGAAGAGTGTGCGCGAACAGCTGAACTTATGCTGCTCCTGTGTGCGTCGATATGTTAGGTAATGTGTGTAACTTTTGAATCACTTTGGAAATGTTCCCTGTTGCCCAATAGGGATTTGTTGGCTGGACACTGGAAAAGTTAAAGTACACAATGTATTTCTTGAATTGACTGTGAATCATTGCAAAATATCAAACAAAATATCTCGTGTTCTTTTAGGAGTTTCTCAAGTGTTAAAAAAAGACAGTGAAAAGTAAATTATATTTTATTTGAATGTTAGGTATTGACAATAACTTCATGCTCCCAATTCCCAGAGTAAAAAGTAGGTTTTTCATATTTAGTATTAGGCATTGAAGGTTAAAAGGACTTGAAGATTAAAAGCATAAAGCATAATTATTCCTGTCCATGTTCTATCAGCATTTTGCTGTATAATCAGTTATTTCTGTAGAAAGAGTTGTCATGCCTTCCTACACACCATATATACAACATGAAGTTTATAAAAACATTAAAAGAGTAAAGTATGATAATCACAAAGTTACCCTCAGTACTAACCCCAGTAACCTTGGTACATTTGTCCTGCAAACTTAATTCCCCTAATTGGACTTGTAGCGGTAGATCTTTATACAGTGATTCATGCTGTCAGACAGAGCCATATGTCCATCAGGCAGCAGGGCCAGGCCCCTTGGGCTGCTCAGGGTGTCGTTGACCAGGGGCCAGCCCACGCCCTTGGATGGATAGATGAGCACACGGTGATACTGCTTTCCCCAGTCAGCCACAAGGACATCCCCATCACTGTCAATGCAGAGACCCCAGGGACTGCTCAGGACGGGCCCCAACCCTGAGCACACGCCCAGGATCCTGATGGTAGACCATCCAGGGTCCAAGACTCGGATACATGGCACTCGCCCTGTCTCACTGCCCCTCTCTGAAACTGCCATCAGTCCTGTACTGAGACAAGCAGCTACCAGGTATGGCCTGTGATACCCCGTCACCACCGTGCGCTCCAGCCGGACTCCTGTCTTTGGGTCAAGCTTGAGTGCCGTGAGGCTGCCGCGTTTGATATCAGCCACCAGAAACTCGTCATTCTGATTCACAGTAACCCCCCTGGGAGCATCCAACTCCTCATTAGAGGATCCAATCAGTGTTCCTCCAAATGTTTGCAGCAGGCGGCCATGACGGCTGAAGACCAAAACAGCTCGCTCTGCTGCACAGGTGAGTGCGATGAGGCCACAGGAGTTTACAGCCACATCGAAGAAGTTACTAATGCGACAAGACCTTTCTGACCCTGTGGGAGACACTTGCTGAACGAGATTCTTCTGGATGTCTGTCACCTGAACCCGAGCATTCCCACAGTCCACTATATACAACTGGCCATTAACAGTAGCATGAACTCCGCTTGGTAGGTTAAAGTCATTCCGACCTGATCCTTGTTTTCCAATTTGTTTAATTAGAACCGCAGCGTCAAGGGCAGTGGACACTGTCTCTTCTTCTAAATCCTTCAAAGGTGGCATCTCTATATTCTTTTTAGTCTCTTTGGCTTTCTGTACTTTTTCTCCGTCTATAGCAGACATAGATAGTGACCTGCTGACACGATTCAGACCGGAGCCTCTTGTGAAACATGACTTTGACCTTGACTGTCGTTCTGAGCTCACACTGATGAGCTCTGATTGAGGGCTGCTCTGACTTGTAAAATTGGAGGCCAACTGCATTCTGCTGACCTTCCTGATTCCTCCATTGTCTTTCTTATCACTCGTGATCAGAGGTCTCAGCCTGCCTGAAAGGTCCACAGTAGACACCGCTCGACGGTGTTCCTGCTTTAAGGATCCATTCACTGGAGTATTTACACTGTACGTGTAACAGCCGTCCTCACTTTCTGTTGGCGAAGGCGGACTGCCACTGTCCATTGATTGAGTTGAAGTCTTTTTTCTGAGTAGCTTTTGCTGCGGCAGTGAAGGGCGTCTCGTTAAATCTGCGAGACTGTGTCTTGTTAGTGAACTTTTCCGTTTCATCATTGGAGAAATGGCCCGGGCACAGATCTTTGTGTTACTTTCTTCTGGGGGACAGGATGGTTCATCAGATGAAACCCGAACCAGAGCTTTTTGTTTTCTTTTGTGTTTTATTATGGGATGCCTTTTCCTGTGTTTTCTCCCGTCAGACTCCTCTCCGTCAGACTCTCCCTGACTGAATGCTGGTGGAATGGCCAGGAACAGGTCCTGCCCCTGTGTCTCTGAGCACACTGACTCCAGCTCCTCGTCCTGGGAGGACTCTGATGCTCCTCGTTGCCTTGATACAGGAGACGTTGGTGACTTAAAATCATCTTCATTCTCTGTAGAGCTTGACAAGCGCAGTTTTCTTACAACACGCATTTTTTCATTGTTAGCTTTTTTACCCTCACCTATTTTGTTGGATTGTGGGTCTTTTCGAATATCAATTGGAGTGATATTTGTGAACATTTCTCCTCCTGAATGTAAAGCACACTTCTGTCCCTGGGCACCACAGACACCAATAGGGTAAGTCATCCCCTGTTCTTGAACATCAACACCCCCCAGACTCAGTGTCTTAGACCAGTCTGTTGAAACAAAATGTACACGTTTCAGCGTGAGTGAGATTTCCCACGGCTGAGTGACCTCTGCGACCCCTCTCTGAAGCTGGTTCTTGTTTGCACCTCCAGCAGTGCCACCCCATCTCTTGACCTGCTCCTTCAACTGAACAATATTTCTAATTTGTTGGTCTACCATTGACTGTACGACACGCACAGCTGCAGCATTCTCTCGTTTGACCTGATCCAGCCGCCTCTGTGCATCTCTGTGGTCCTGCTCTATCTTCTCCAGTAAGCGTCGCTCTTCTCGTTGGGCTTCAAATACAGCATTGTCTAGCTGCCGGTTCACCTCCTCCACTTCATTCTGCTGTCTTTCCCTGAGGGTCAGCAGTTCTTGTTCCCCTTGCTCGAGGTTGGCGAGGGCCTGTGACACCCATGGAGGCGGGGAGATCAAAGATGCAGGTGTAAAGATGGACTCCCGAGGGGTGTGAGTGGGGGGTGGCGCAGAGGTCACTTCATCTTTCTGTGTAAGAGTGCTGCTCTGTGACAGGAGAGCTGAAAATCCCGGCAGAGGTCTTCTTTCAGAATGCGATCTGAGCAACATTGTGTGAAAATTTGCCTGGAACAATTTTCTTTTAATCTGTGAAGAGAAGGGCATACACAGATATATTTAGTGTTTTAAGATTAGCGTCACATCATTTTGAAGAATAAAACACACTCCAAATTCTATTGTCAAAGGTTCGTGTATATGTAAACTGATTCTTTAATCCCTTGGGTAATGCCTTTGTGTATCCTGTTGATTCAAGGATATCATATGTGCGCATTTGTTTGCAATAGTAAACTAGGACGGCAGCCATTTTCTTGCAACTTTATCCGACTGACACAACATTCTCTCAGACTCTCTCAGATTCTCTCAGGCTCATAAGTGGTCTCGAATAACTACCGTCCTGCTTTCGCCTGTGGGTTGGGAGTCAGCTCAGCCAATCAGCATCATGCCCAATATAATTTGTTACTCTGTAAATTAAGGTACAATGAGGTACCTAAAGTACTAAAATCAGATTTAGTTAATTTTATGGCTTATCCAAGTTCACTCCCTGCTTTCCTCGAATCGTAATTGTGTAGGTTGACTCCTTAAGCATCGACCATTGCTCAATAATTGGATTAAGTGATTTATTTTTAACATCAAGAGCTGATTAGACGTCATATCACTGGGAGAGGCAAAACCAATTGTGTTCAACTAAATAGGAAAAAAGGAGGACTGGCGTTTCAACATTAACATATATCTAAAACTTATCATACACTGTAGGTCAAGAGCATATCATTTTAGGCAAATATAGATAAGATGTTGAATTTGCCATTTGCTGTTCAATCTTTCTTAAAAGCCTTACACATTCTTTGAACAAGTTACGGCCTTTAATCTTTTTCCTCGTTGACTAAGTTCATCCTGTCACTTGTCATTGAATCTCAACAGTCTCTGTGGTACTTCCGAGTGTAGCACAGACCCCTATTGTCAGAAATGGCATTACTTATCAGCTCAAGGCACTGAAACGGAGCCCTGTCTTTCATCATCCATATTAGGTATGTGACACACTGCCAGATGAGGCGGATACTTGAGTTTTCGCAGTGACCTTCTCATTTCGATTGGATTATAATTCTGAGGTGCACTTGTGTGAGGGCGCTTGTTAAGGGAGTAGATCTAGTCCAAGCCAGTTACCCTCTGAGCAAAACAACAAGGCTTTTGCATGGATGAAAGGATTGGTGTCGGTTTACTGCGGTGCGTTCACAATACAGTCCCTCTGGAAACATATGACCTCAGATCATCAGCGGATAAAATCTGTTCCCATGTTTTTAAAATGATGTCAAAGAGATGAGTTTCATACTGATTTTAAGCACAGGCCTCTTGGGATTTATGGGGGTGTTAAAGACAGTTCTGAAGCAAGTAGCTAAAAGGACAGCGGTGTAAAGTCTGAATTGTTTGGCAGAAAAGTTGATTGACAAGTTCATGCGTTTAAATGGATTGTTTGTTTGTAAAGGGTGAATTGTAGGCGGCGGTGGTGGCAAATCCCTGTCTGTCTCCTGGACTGTGGACACTAGCTTCTCAAGTTTCCCCACTTTAATGTTGAATGAGTAGCACTAGTTGCTAAGTTACCAAACTAAGCCCCCATTTGCTCAAGTGCGTACAGGCTATGGAACAAATCCCATTCATAATTGAGACGTTTGCAGAAGGTTCACATGCATTCCTACACATCCAGACCATTTTATGAATCTGAAAAATCAACATTTATATTAAAAAAAAAACTTGATATGTTTGTATTGTTGAATTATTGCACATGATAAAAATAACATGTTTCTTTCATGCGTCACAAATTAATATCACGCTGAAAGTGTTGGTGCTCCTGCCCATATGCGTCATAAATGTATATGTAGCATGCAGAAAAGTTAATCATTTTAATACATAAACTAATTTTCTCCCCCTTTCTCATTCCCTTTTGACTTCAGTTGTAAAAACGGTGCATTCACACTTGTTGAACTTTCATTTCTGGTTTACTTGAGGCAAAAAAAAGGTGCTATTTGTGACTGTCAAAACCCTAAACAAGTAAACGTGTGTTCTCTCGTCAGTTTACATTGTTTTAAACAGATGTGTGAATATTAGCATTTTTTCCTGAACCAGATTTGGTCCCATTAAAGTGAACAAGTGTGGAAGCACCTTAAGCTGTTGGTAAAGTTGCGTGCAGAATCATGCAGTAGTGTTTGGGTCGTACCTGAACAGAAGAGGCGTGTGTGTCTTCACGTGTAGCTGCTGCTGCTCTGTCCTCCAGTCCTCAGTCCTACATCTCCTACTCCAGCTGTCAGTCACACCCCCTTCTCACACCTACTCCCCTCCTGGCTGCCTTTTTCACTGCATTCCTAGCAGGCTGTCTGGAGGTATACGTGTCATTCGACTCTGTGGTTATGCTGTTGTCGATTAGCGTAGTTAAAAGTTGCTTCTGTTTGTTTAGTATGTTCAAAATGCTTTTCAATAACCTGCAATTCTATTCTAACTAGACAACAACTCTTTTGATGATTCCATACATGTGCAAACTCTAACACTTGCGCCATACATTTCCGTCGTAAGTGTAATGCTGTTAATTCTGTTGATACATTTTATATGGGTCTTCATTAATTGTGGTGAAGAGTTGATGCACCTGTTGTCCATGTCCAATGTTGCAATCTACAAAACCACCACTAGATGTCAGCAAATAGAAAGCGTCGGGATAGAAGTATGGGGCGCTTTCAAGATTTCAAGATGTAGGTTGTAAAGGTTTAAGTGCTTTTTACCAGTATAGAAAACAAAAACAAAATAATACAATCTAATGTCTAGTATTTAAGAAGGAAATTTATATTATTACATTCAGGGCTGAAACTATTGATCATTAGCGTTCATTTTCATTGAATTATTAGAGCATTTTCTGCTTTAGAATCTGAAGGATGTGGTTCAAGTATCTTATTTTGAATTATAAAATAGTTTAGCATTAAATGAAATGTATTTAGTATTTTAGCTCAAGCAACTTTACCATACAGTCTATATCAAATTTTAATCAAATCTCGTCTTTTTATTCCTAGGAAGTCATCAGAAATCTTTCAAACACTGTCTGTCATCAGGATAAAAACAGTTAATTTTGTATATAATCTTATCTTTGCACTAAAATGTGGTCAAAAGATGTGAAACTGACCAACTCCTGACAGCTCCTTGTCGTTTCAAACAGTGTGGAAAACCTCTATTTATATATTATTACTATTTTGTACTTGTTTTATTGTTGATGAATGATTATTATTCCAAATATTTTTTTTCAGCATGGCGTAAACCAGTAAAGAACCTTTTTTACCTCACACAACTTTCCAGAACTTAATTACGTGCCACATTTCCTGCTGTCCCCTTTCAACTGCAGAACCAGGCCCAAAACAATGCTGGATATTAATTATTATTCTTAATTGTCTTATAAGGTCTAGGTGTGGGGACTCTATGTGATCTTGGGACTGTTTTGAGCCTCTAAGGGGGTGACAGCTGTCCTCTACACAAGCTCCAACATCTTCTCACCAATTATCTTCACCCACACAGATCCGCCGGCCGTGGTGTGACCCCCTGGTCCTGGGGCACATGTCAGGCAGACTGGGTGTCACTGGAGGTCCACGGGCTGCCTGCGCTGGTGTTGTGACGGATTATTTCTATCTCCTGTCCTGTCAGCAGCAATGGGGAATTATGTGAGCCCAAGGATGCGTCAGGACCAGTGCGTTATTGATATCACCATTCAGACATACAATCCAGCTGCTCGCCCTGCCTCGCACATCAGTACAATTAAATCTCCTGCGTGTGCGTGTGGCAGAGAGTAATGGCCTCAATAGTTACTGTAACAAAACAATAATGTCACAAATAGATATATATATAAGGCGCACATGTGACAGCAAATGTAATTGGCTATTATTACCTTGCGCAAACAAATGGAGGTGTCACTGCTCTGCAAGAAAACTGTTGCAAGCAAACAATTAAAACAAGTCAGATTTTGTGGGATAATATTAGAGAAAGTGGTCAAGAAAGTCATGTCGCGCCGGTCTTCCCCACTTTGCATAAAGCAGGCAATATTAGATGATGAATATGGTAATGGTCGTCGTTCTTGTGGGACTATCTCCTTTCAGAGGCAAGATCTGGTTCTGCTGTTAGATTCGATTAATTCCTCTTCACGCCAATCCTCATTTTGGTGTCCCCCTCCACGCCCAGCGACCCCTCCTTTCTCCCTAACACTTTAGGCCTATGATATTAGATGAACAATCGCAGAAACAAAACGAGCTGGAACAACCAAGATGGGAACAGATGGCACGTAATTGCCTGGTGGAGGAAGCCAGGGAGTCAATTTTTACCCGTCCTGAGGGAGTTGCAGTGGGAGAAAAAAGAAAAAAAGTGCAGGTGCATTTGTTTTGATCAGATATGGCCTGGAGGAGGCATCTGAGCATTATGCATCACACAAGCATTAGGGAGGAGAATTGAACAAAAGCGTCCGTCGCGTTGGTGAGCTTTCATCAGGCCAATGAGGTGCGTGCGGCGCGGCGTCAACAGAAGCAGATGCGTCACAAATTAATATCACGCTGAAAGTGTTGTGAAAGCTGTCAAACTTTTCACATGGTGCTCCAGCCCGAATCCAAACACCTCAGCTCCGCTTTGAGTCTGAGCAAAGAAGCCGTGATGAAAATATATGTGTGAAAAAGTGCTGGTTTGGAGTTTTCAAATTGGATCATTTCTTTCCATGACTAATTAGTATTTGTAACTAAATTCATTTTCAGTATCAGAAGTGGCTTGTTAGATGGACTAGATTTCCAAATTAAATTTCTGGATAATAATAATAACAATATATTTAATTTCTTAGGGGCCTTTCTAGATATCCACACCGCTGTCAGACTGTACAACAAGTCACTTTAAGTCACTGCATTAAGACAAAAAAAAACCTGCACTAATATTGACACTGTTTCGGAACTTTTTTTTGCCACTTTTTGAATTGACATTTTTTTATTGTACATAATATCCTGCATTTAACATGTTTGCACAATTCTTTCTTTTTGCACATAGTCTTG